AGCGGGTGCTGGGCTATAGCCTGTCTGTGATGTGTGGAACAGAGTAGGAGAAACACTGATTTGTAACATGAAACTTTATTTGGTGTTTTTACTGGTTTTAATCACCTGGTCAGTTTGTTTTGGAGAGGAAGAGACCTCTGCAGATAATTTGGCTCCCGTTAAAACCTCCTGAACAATGAACTTTGAAGGAATTCTTACCAGGAGAAGTTTCAGCTGGTTGCAATCTGCAACCCTGTCTGCTAGATCCCCTTAAATCTTACACACTGTTCCTTTAAATAAACACTAAAAAGTAACAAAACACTAATAAATATCTATCTATTGTCCTGTAGGATTGTGCTCGCCCTCTCTCCATAGAAGCAGATGAAAATGGCTGCTATCCCTTGGATGGTAAGATCCTGTGTATGAAGTGCCACACCCAGCGAGCCAGGCAAGCTGCACAGTGATCGGCCGGAGCAGCGCGACTCAGATTAACTATGAACCAAAATCCAAAAGCACAGGATTCATTCAGCTGCCGTTTTGCCTTTGCAACAGGGCTTTATTCAGTATATGTGCGCAGGTGTGAGTATGAATGTGCTGTGTGAAAAAGGTATGTTTGCATGCAGACTCAGTGTAGTATCCCCCTCGTCTTTGTTCACTTCGCTTCAGTGCAGAAGTAATGTACTGCATTGAAATAAACTTCCTTTATCTTTTATTCCCGATCCCGAACTCCCTGACCTCTCATCCAGCCCTCCTTGTGTACTACAACTTATTTTTTTGTGCCAACTCTATGTTTACGCTAAATTTCCAGCAGAACTTGCACAAGAACAGTTTGGTCAAAAGAGCAGTCTGATGAATATAAAGTTGCCTTTCTTTGTCTCTTGCCTCAATATTGTAAGTAGCAACATATACTGAGATATTTCCATCTTAAGACTTTCACTGTCTGGTCTCTTTCCCTATGAGCATTGTAACTACACTGATGTTACTGAGACAGGTTGTTACCACAGGGTGAGGAGTACCACAATCTCCCATTTGACCACTCTGCATATTTCACCACTCCGGTTGGCTGTTGGTAGAGCATATCTTCAACACTTTGGCAGTTTTTGTGCCTGCAAGCATGGTTAATTATGCTTTCCTGCCTAGAAAGTGCTTTATATCAGCCGATCTACTCTGACAGCATTTTAAAGTCATCTAGGGCTACACGTTGACTGCAAAAAGATAAAAACAGTGAATGTTGCTCTTAGTTTTCTGTGATGTGAATTTGATAATTTACATGCATGCGTTGAATAATGTCTCGTTGCTCTCTCTTCTTCAACCATACAGACTGTATAAGAGCGAGGTTAGAACAAAAAAAAATCAGCTGTTTTCTTCTCAAACGTAACTCAGAGCTGATTTAACTGTGTATTTTTAGATGCATGCTTTTGGGATGCACAAATTACGAACAAACAGACGAGCACAGATTCCATTCTGGGGATCTCATCATTTAAAAAAAAAAACAAAAAAAATCCCCATGTGGTTATAAATGTCAGCTGCATGGCTGAAAACAGGACCTATCATGTGATCGTTGCACAGTTCCATTGTGAAATAAAAAAGCCTTTAAGTGTCATTTTGACTCTAAAGCTCCCGCACATGATCAATTTTGTATTCGTAGACACCATCTAGAAACATAGTAGTAGCTTTTGATATACATTTTCTTGGAATCCCTTGCTTTGACATATAATTTATGGACCATTTTTTTTTAAGTATTAAGGTTATATGTGTGCCAGTGCTAAAATAACCTGTCCTAACAGCAGGATAATAGCTCAGTAGAGGCATTAGAGTTTTAGGTAACAGATGTTAAAACATAGTGACCAACTTTCACGAAGCTGTTGGCAAGATTAAGGTTAATAAAACAGTTACATGAGATTCAGTGTTCTCACTGTCATGTATGTTTTATATCACCTTTTTGTGTTTGAGCCCAGTTCTTTGGTCTTGATAGATCCTAATGTTAAATACCACTATTCTTTCCATTATTCATCTTTTGTACTCTGTTCATGTCAGTTATATACTATTTTATTCTTATCTTACTGTACTGTACTTCATTGATAAATGCTTCAAATAATTTGGTTTCATTCTGAACCTGGAGATGTGCCTTTCTCCGCTGTTGTTTCCCATTGTACTCTTGAATTGAGCCTGGTTTGCAGCTACAGAAATTCATTCCACGATTAGAAAACAGTTGTTACTCGTGCTTGCATTGAGCCTGGTGCAGTATAACACCAGAATGACTAACATGGCAATAGTTACTAAGCATTGCATGCTATTTGTGTAGGTGGTGGTGGCATGTCTTCTATTATTATGTCTTTTGTTTGCACCAACGACTCCACCTCTTTGGCCCCGCCTTCATCATCAGTACGTGATATTATACGTATGATGATGCCTTCACAGTCGCATTTATCTGGCGTTTTATTGTGTTACGTCCTATTGTATAACATGCAGATGCCTTGTCTTTTCATATAACTTTTTTTTTAATAAAGTCCTGTTTGATATGTGTGAATGTGTACATGTTTAAAAACATTATTTAGCCCCACCCCTCCCCCTTTGGCTGTATCAAAAGATAAACAAATAAATAAAATGCTGAATATCAAATGTTTTCCGTCTAATTTGTCACCTGGGATGAAAACTGGTCAAGTGAGACAATCGTGAATCTTGTCATTTTGTCATCATTTTTATCTTTACATGTAGATACTTTCATTACTGAAAATCAATACTGAGCTCATCATAAGCAAGTACATGATTAAAAAATAGAGATTCTGTGGCTGTGACATCACTTCCGAGGGCGCAACCACAATGGAAAGTAAAGTGACAGCACTCTGAGGTAAATAATGTTAAGGTTATAAAGATTTAATAAATGTTGGACAGCTTGTGATTGTTATATAATTTGTTATGGGATGTTATGCTGGATTTTAAGTAATTACATTCCTTTTTTTTTAATGTGGTTTTGACACTATCCCAGTTGAGTTCCCTTTTTATTTGTCCCTCACAAATCTAGCTTGCTAGGTAGATATTTAAAGGACTTACTCAAGATAAGATATCGAAGGTTTTTATCCAACAGCAACCATTTAATGATTACTTTTATTTCTCTTTCTTTTTACCACAACAATTTTTACAATAACCATGGGTGGATTGTAAGACAGTGGGCCCCAGGGTATAGACATGCAAAAGGCCCCACCACCTCTCCAGCAGGTGCTCCAGTCCCTTCCACTCCCCCCAGTGCACGTGCATGCCTCCAGACCTGGTGTTACTCATGTTACTTGGTGAACCAGTGAAAGCGTTCTAGGGTCGAGGGGACTATATCTATTTTGTGTTATCTGGGTCCACGACTGAAACGACTACCATCTTGTTCTTGGCCAGGTGTTCATGGATATGCTGCTGTCAGGCTAATGTTACCAGCTAACATTAGCTAACTTTGGCTACTGTTTTCTACCTAACGTTACGAGGTTAATCGATCCCAGAGGTCTGAGGTAATGCCGTCAAAGCTCTCAGTCGTGGCTAGAAACTTGGAGAAGTTGTCGCAGCTCGATGTAATTGCATCCAACTCGAGGCATGTTTAAAATGCTTTAAGTTTGACAATAGTTCACTGGGCTCTTCCAAACCCAAGACTGAAATTTTGGATCCACATCTGCTGCTGTTTCTCAGTTACTTTTTAAAAATACTTCTCCCCTTTACGTCCTACTGTATTCGGGACATAAATTGGCTCTTGTTTTTTCCCAAGTTTTATTGATTGGAACGGCTGTAAGCAGCGCAAATCAAAGGCATTGGTGCAGTGTTGGTAGACTTTGCCTCCAGCTGCCTTCAATCTGGACAGAGCACCATACGTCATATGCAAAGACACTATGACTGTGCAGTTTTTAAAAACATGTTTACATATTGTCTAATATTCTCTGTTTGTCTAGCATTTGTTGCTTTTCAGTAAATAAATTGTCTTGATATGACTTAATTCTTATGTTTGGTCTCTTGTCCACCTGATAAATATTTGTCATATATTAAATTAATATCTGTCCCTTTAGCTCCTTAATGCTCCACTATGTGCAACAGCTAGTCCCTAACTGTGTTGTTCTGCTGTTTGCTGCTGAGCAGGTAGTGAATAGTAGGTTTTTAGAGCAAAACACATCATTAGAGCAAAGACAGTAAAGCAAAACAGTAAAATTGTGGGCTGGACAGCGAAACAATGAGCTGAAGCTCACTGTAAAGCTCTGTGAAGATAAAGAGAGCTGCAGATTCAGGTCATAATTGTAGGTTCATCACTACCAGACACCTTATATTGTGCTTCCCCTACCTACAGTTAGGCCAACACCAAAGAAACACCATATGAGAAGAAACTTGTAGGCCTACAGTATTTTTAGCATTTGGGCTTTTGTTATAAGAGCCGGAGTCGTGACATGACCCTGTAGTAGATTACTTTGTTGATGAAGCTAACATTTATTTTAGCCCTATAAAACTGTCATACAGACAGCTCAATAATATAAATAATAATAAAACTGACCTCTCCTGTTCTGTCAGTGTGAGGTTATTGTGATTATTTTTCTGCCTAAACTTAAACTGCCTTTCTAAATATATATATATAAAAAAACAAGATTTTTTTTCAGTATTTTTAAGGGTCACAAACTCTGCAATTCATTTCATACTTTATGCTTTTGTAAGAGAGCTGCTATAATTAAAACAAAAAAAAAGCAGAGTTTTATTAAGGCTCTTTGAAAACGTGAAGGTTGAGATCACACAGTTGTGTATAAGGGGTCCATGACAAAGCTGAAGCTAACTAGATACTGATTTTACTGTCATAAATCACAGTACATACCTGTCACCTGTGTGTTTAGCTTGGTGTTGACTTCCTGGACCTTCTTCTTCTGCGCCGTCTTGTTGCATGTCTCTGCAGTTAAGTTGTGTTACCGCCCCCTGTCGTCCGTCTGTCAGCACTGACCCCCCTCCCAACCGCCGAGGAGACGAATACAGTTGGAGAAGAGGGCACTACGGGAAACGGGGAGGGACACACTTCGACCCCAAGTCCTGTCAACTCAACGAGACATGATTTACCGCTGTCATAAAAAAATGGACGGATTCATCTCTGACAGCTGAAGATACGAGTTGTTTTAAAACGGTTTGTAAAACATACTTTAACTCTTACTTTCACCAAAGACGGTGGATAATCCAGTATCTTTGCTTTCACTTTTATGGTTTCAACTTCCTGTTGAGCTCCATTCATGTGTAAACGGTTAACTGAGCTAACGTACAGTAACTAACGTCAGTATGTGAACAACAGGTTGCTAGCTAAAGTTGCTAAAGTGCTTTGACAAGATAGTTTACGAAAACAGAAACTAGAGAAACAGCAAAGACGACGTTCAACAAGAGACACTGTGTGTGTGTGTCTGTGTGTGTGTGTGTGTGTGTGTGTGTGTGTGTGTGTGTGTGTGTGTGTATCAATTAATGATTAATGATGTATTATTATGGATCAAGCTACCCAGCCGTAAAGTAACGTTAACAGTTAGCTAACATTAGCTCCATCTTTACCAGCTGCAACATTAAAGAGATATGCACATTGGAATTTCTCAATTGTGGGATCAATAAAGGTGTATCTTATCTTACATTAATGCATCAATAATAATATATTATTATTTTTAATGACTTAATACAGAGTATTTCTACAGTGTGTGTTCTTACATTAGTCAAAGATCTGAGTACTTTTTCTGACCGCTGATAGTAGGGCTGCTGGGGTACCCTACTTAATAATAATAATAATAATAGTAGTAATAATAATAATGATGATGATAATACATTTTATTTATAGAGCCCTTGTCATGGTGCTCAAAGACACTTTACATTGGTTAAAAACATTCTTAAATATAGTAGTTTAGTCTGCTAGGTAATTAAAATTATAACTGGGACCCATTTTTACACGCTACTGTTCATGTGTTAGAAATATGCTTTTCTCTACAAAACTACGTAACTATTTCTATAGTCTTTCTTTCGACACAGCACCATAAAAACGCAAAGATAGTGAATAAGAGTGAATGTGAGGTTGGCCTTAAGGATAAATTTGGTGAAGCAGGAGCATTTAAGAGACAAAGTCTTAATCTATATTAGCCCTACATTTTTCCCCAATGCCATGACAGAAAGCATTGTGTTTGCTGCCTGTGTGCGTAAACTCCAGTCATGTCCATCGTAAAACAACTTAAATTTTCTCTAATTTTGTTTCAGCTGGGAAATCTTCAGCCGGAGCAACTGGTGTAGATACCATGGCAGAAGGTGGGTGCAGAGGTAGTATGATGACTTCTCAATAAATTATTTGTTCTCTGTTTGTAATCAGTCACTGATCAGATTCTCTAGAAACCCAGAATCTGACAATATGGGCCCCTGACACACCAAACCAATGGTCAGCGTTAGGTTAATGTCAAAAGTCTGTTGCCTACCTGCTGGTGTGGAGAGTTATTTCCTCTTTCCTCTTTTTGGCCGAGACACAGGCGACATGAGGCAAGCAACAGTTGCCCTTTGTCACCGCTAGTTCTTTGATGTCAGCTTGCTGTGTCTGAGCCTTAAAACCTGTTTCCTAATTTACTGTATGGTTAAAACAGGCCTAATTCGTCTAAATAGAGTTCAGGATCAAGAGCAATGAATAAACGTGATGAGTGTTGCATTATTTAATTTAAATTAATAGTGTGACTTTGGGGAGGTATGCCTTTTTGCATGTCTTTCTTAAAGTTAAATGAGAACATCAATACGACTGGTGTTTGTACATTAAGAATAAAAGAACTAGAGTCAGGAGACTTTTAGCTTCGCTTAGCATAAAGACTGGAAGCAAAGAGAAATGCTTACCCTGGCTCTGCCCAAACTCCAGAAAAATCTGTCAACCAGCATCTCTAAAGCTCTAGTTAACACATTAGTACCTTTTTAAATAAAAAACACTTTGGTCAGGCTCGCTTTTTCCCTTGGGTCCAGTCTTTTGTCAAACTAAGCTAAACTAAATATCTTCTAGCTTTGTATTTAGTGTACAAAAATGAGACTGGTATCAATCTTCTCATGTCACTCTTGGCAGGAAAGACAGAAAGTGTATTTCCCAAATTATCATCATAAAACTTCAGTTGCGACAGAATGGCATTTGAAGAAAACGTCATATCATAATTAAAAGATGTATTAATTAATTGTCTGTATTTGATGAATCTCAGTCATTTACACTTTGATTATTGAAATTAGAAGTTTTATAGCATCTTACAATAAAACCTCTTCAGATGAAATTTTCAGAAATTCCAGTCAGTCATTGTGGAGTCATTTTTTTACTCTTTCCTCAGACAAGCTCTTTGTGGATAAACATCGAGGCGAGCTGATACAGAGAGTGAACAACACCGCAGCCATTCTAGCTGAGCTCGTCAGTGAAAATGTCATCCAACAAGACAGTTATGATAAAATCAGGGCTCTGCCCACCCCTCAGCAGATCATGAGGGAGCTCTTCAGTGGACCCTTGGCATCCAGTGGAGTTCAAGGAAAAGAGACCTTCTACAAAATCCTGAATAAACATGAGTCTTATCTAATCGATGACGTCAAGAGAACTGAGTATGAGAACGCCATGAAAGTGAGTAAATCCTTAGTTATATAAATTATTCTAATGGAAGTGGGGCTGTCATAGGTTGTACCTCTCTTATAATCACTGTTTTTTAGACGCATTGAGTGAGTACAATCTCCTATGAATTTACCAGGTGGAAGCGATATCATCTGTCATAGAGCTGCTTTTGGAAACACTGGCTGGTTTGAGTGACTGGGAGCTTGAGGAGTTCAAGAGTTTCCTCCTGAGTCAAACTTGCATCTACGAACACTTCTCAAATATCCAGTGGAGGCTGTTGAGGACCGCAGACATGCAGGACACAGTGTTTTCTATGGTGCAGAATGATGGCCAACAGTCTGTGGAGACGACCAAGGAGGTTTTAGAGAAGATGAAGAGGACTGATCTGGTGCAGAGGTTGTCAGACAGCAGCTCAGGATCCAAAAGTAAGACAGTAAAACTAAAAAAGATGTTAAAAATATTCCTTAACATGTGTCTTTTAAGTTTATAAGCTGTTTTCTTCTCTTCACATTATAAATAATAAGATTTATGATGTAGACATTTAAAGATACACATCATCAGGTGAACAAGATATATTTTATGACTAATGTAGAGCATGGAAAAATATTTCGGGTAAGGAGGCAAAATGTCTGATAAATTATCTGTTGAGGTTCGAGTGTAATTCTGTGCTGACGTCTTTGTATTGTGTTTTTCCCCACAGCAGTACAGTCTGATGTCAGTCACATGTTTTTATTTCCTTTCTTTCTCCTCAGAAAAACACTCTGTGGATGAACACCTGTCTGCACTGATCCACAAAGTAAGCAATATCATATCTGTCTGACCACGCAGAGTACAGCTTTTATTAGATAGGATGCAGGTTTAAATTCATATCAATATTGATTATGATCAATTAAACCAAACTCGTGATTTAAATCAAATGTTTCTATTGTTCCTATTATCAAGTTGTTGTATTTTAAACAGTTTTTCAAAGACTTAAACCAAATGCTCAACAAGAAAATGATAAAATATCTTCATTGTGCCGCCAACTGTTAGTGCCATGACGTCATCGACATCTGTTGTTCAGATCAGGTGGCTCATTTCAGCTTATAGCGGCACAATGAAAGAGTTATGGGTCAAGGTCAAGGTTACTTTATTTGTCTTCCTTTGGGAGAAAATCATCTTGGATGAAGGGAAATTGCTGCGTCAAATCAGACATTACAGTACAGAACATTAAATAGATACAATAGAAGCAACACAGTAAAGATATTAAATATTAAATAAGACACACGCAAAACGTTAGTATCAGTACCTTAGGTGATCTTGTAGAAAAACACATCTTCCAACAGTCAAATATAAAAGTATAAAAGTCTAATGATAATGATATCAATCAGGAGCCAAAATATAAATCTATTAAACATTTTTTTATTAACATTTACTTGTAATTTTCCAGGTGGCAACTATGAGGGCTATTAAAGAGCGGCTTTTGGAGACACTCAGTGATTTGAGTGACAGGGAGTTAGAGAAGTTCAAGTGGTTGCTGCAGTTCACGTTCTTCCAGAGGAGCCTTGAACTCATCTCATGGAGAGAAGTGCAGTGGACTTACAATGTAAACGAACTGGTGGATGTGATGGTGGAGAAGTTCGGTCAGCAGTCTGTGGAGGTGACCGTGGAGGTTTTGATGGACATGAACAGGAGTGATCTGATGCAGAAGCTGTCAGAGACCATCTCAGGACACAAAGGTAAGATTGAAGAAGACAACTGCAACTTTGTATGTAATGATAATACACATGCTTACAAAATCAGCAGCTTGTCGTTTCAAACAATACAGTAATAACATGTAGGCCTGCCATGACCCCAAGAACAACCAAAGAGCTGAAACAACACCTCTCAAACACAGTCTCAAGTAAAAACTGAATATCAACTTCACAGAGTTATTTATCTGTTATTTTAAAAATACAGGAATATGCTTTTTACCCAGTGAAATTAAGTGACAAACTAAATTTACTTGTGCTCACAAAATAAAAACTAAATGTGAGATTAGACAGAAGTCTTTTTTACACTGCCAGATTTTCGGCGAATGTTGGGCAGTTTTGCCGGCAAGCTGCGAGCGTTTAGACACACAGAGCTGGATTGGCGAGTTGATCCGAGGTGCCCAATTTTCCGCCTCGTAGGGTAGACATATTGGCAGAACCCTTTAAGTTTAAACAGACCGAGGCGGCCTTCCGCCACGGGAGGGGCTGTTGAAGACTTGTGGGAGGAGCTGTTGATGACACCGCATGTGCGACCCAGTGGCGGTGGATAAACAGGAAACAGCTGATAGCAGGAATTAGCGAGCAGCTAGTAGCAGGAGGGAAACACAAACCTGACAGACACTGTAAAGATGAGCAACTGGGGAGACAAGGAATTGCGTGCTGTCCTTGCCCTCGCAAACGAAGAGGCCATTAACCGTCAGATGACAGGAACGATGAAGAACGGGCCGACTTATGAGAGAATCGCCGAAGGACTGACCAGCCGTGGCTTCCCTCCCACGTCACTGTTTACAAAACACGCTGAGCTACACGTTTTGTTACTTGCTCACGCCCCCCATTGCCCCGAAAAAAGCACAAAAGTAGGTAGGCGTCATTTTGCCGCACTCCCCGATTTTGTTTTTATATTATCAATGCTGAAAAAAGACTGATTGGGCTTTCCTGCAAATTTGCACAATTCCTGTCTAAAAAGTACTTTTGGTTCTTTTTTATAAGTTTGTGTGTTTTCAAAAGTTTCTCAACACCTTTTCTTTAAAAATATTCTTTGTAGGGTTGGGCGATACAACAACTATTTACGATATATCGATATCTTTTCAAGCAAAGTATAAATTTAGGCAACACCATTTTATCGATATAAGGTCAAGTTGCCTTATATGTCACAAACCAGTGTGCATCTCTCCTCTTTCACAGTCTCTTCACAGCTCTGCCCCACTCACTCACAAGTTCTCCAGCAATACTTTGTAGAGCTGTAACCTGACGTGCACCTCCCATAGACTTATAAAATAAATAAACCAGACAATGGTGTTCTGTAGTTACAGAAAAATACACTCGATACTGCTGAATCACAGTGGGTTTATCTAAAATTCAATGAAATAGAAAACTGTCATCACAAATTACAAAGGCATTAAACAATTGAAATTTCTGTATTTGGAATGAAACTAATGTTCACAAGCTGACATTTTACAGGTCTTGATCAAATTAAAAAAACATACAAGCATGCATTACTTAATGAATGAATTATTAAAGTTGATTTTTTTTTTTTGTTTTTTTGTTCATTGTACCAGTTCTAATATAAGTCCTTGCTATTAGAATTGTAATAGTTAGACATTGTCTGATTATAAAGCCTTAAATCAATCATTCATTCATATTTCCTTTGTCCTCAGAGAAACACTGTATGGATGAACATTGTCCTGCATTGGTCCAGACGGTGAGTAATGTCACTTCTGTCCAACAGTGTATGATCAGTTGGACAAATACTATGAATTGTATCATTACTTTATGTGATATAACTGATGAACTCTTACCTCATCCACATCTCTAAAGAAAAATCTGTAATCATCCCTGCTGACAAATTGCACTTTTACCCCATGAACATTTCCTTTGAATTTACCAGGTGGAGATGATGACATCTGTCATAGAGCTGCTTTTGGAAACACTGGCTAGTTTGAGTGATAGGAAGCTCAGTAAGTTCAGGGACATCCTCTTGAGTCAGACTGACTTCGACAGATGCGTCTCACACATCCCATTGATACTGCTGGAGATAGAAGACAGGCAGGTCACAGTGTTTTTAATGGTGCAGACCTATGGCCAACAGTCTGTGGAGACGACCAAAGAGGTTTTAGAGAAGATGAAGAGGACTGATCTAGTGCAGAGGTTGTCAGACAGCAGCAAAGGACCCAAAAGTAAGAAAATGAAGAACAAAACTGGTTTTTAACATGTGTTTAGTTTATAAACCATGTTTTCTTCTCCTTCAATTATAAATATTAAGATTTATGATGTAGAGAAAATAAGAATCACTCTCTTGATAGAAAATATATTTCATGGCTAATATGAAATATGAAAATATTTAGGCAGAGGGGGCAAAAATGACTGTTGAGCTGGTTTCAGTGTAATATTACCAATTTAATTTTTTTTTACAAAGCAGAATGGCCTGATAACAATGTTTATTGGTAGATGTTTGATCAGTCACTCACAACTTTTGCTACTTTTCTCCTCAGATGAACACCAGTCTGCACTGATCCAGAAAGTGAGTAATGTCACACCTGTCTGACTTTATACAAAACAGCTTTTATTAAATAGATGCAAGTTAAAAATCATCATCGTCTTGAACATTTTCTATGAACTTTGTTTATTGATTTTTTTTTTTTTACATATAAATTTATAATGGTGTTAAAGCACTTGTGAATGACGGTTCGATGTAATAGTTGTGCAGAACAAAAGAAAACCAACCAACAAACAAACAAAAACTTAGAACCCACACAGAATAAAAACAAACAAACAAAACTTTCAGTTTGGTCATACTGGTCATTGGTCATATTACACTTGTTACATTAAACAATAAACTTACTCAAAAAGTCAGGGTAAAAGTAAAGATATGGGTACAAAAATAGACAAGATTCAGTAGGTTATTATTCAGGAATAAGTGGAAAAGTCATTTTCTTTCTGAGAATCTCTTTTATCCACAAAGTGTTGGAAGGCAGTGTTGGTCATTTCCATCTCATTAGTATTGGATGTCTAGCCAATAATGTTACAAAAGCTACAAGATCTGCTCCAAGCTTAGGCAAAGGCAAGTGAGAGATGCTGAACAGGGCTGTAATGGCATTAGGAGAGAGCAGGACTTTTCCAAAGTTTCCTTGGTGACATCACAGAGTGACATATCCCTTTATCAGTAGTGCCCTATCAGGTTTGTAAACTGGTCTCTCACTTAAGTGTGAGAATGAGGCATCCTGTGGAGATAAGGGCCAAATGGCTTTCCTTTGTTTGAAGAACAGTGAACATGAGGTATCTTACCATTTCAGATGGCAAGACCCAGAGGAAAAAGCATTTACATGTCCAGTTTAGATTTGAACAAACGACAAATCATCTACCGTCTAGTGAATCCCAACAACAGTGAAGAGAACTTTATCCAAAAGAAACATCAATTTATTGTACTTTTAACATTTTTCATAAAAGCATTAAACAAAATATAGAACATAAAAAATATAAATATTCTTTTGAGCCACTGTGACTCATTTCATTTTTTGTGAAAAGCCTGTAAATTAAAGGAAAAACAATTAACAAGTTCATCAGAATTAAAAGGAAGAAGGAAAAGGGGAATCATCTTTTGATTTGTAGTTTGTGTTTCTTAAAAAAAAGCAAAATATACTAAAACACAAATATGTGCAAATACACCAATCTATAAAAAACAACTGTACCAACTGTACTTAATACAACAGCAGTCACCAAATGATCAATATGCTATGTTATCTGCCACTAACACTCACATCTCCATAAACACTGATGTGGTGCAAAGAAACACATTTGTAATTGTCCCAGTGGATTAAATATATGTCCTATAAATGTATTGATTATTTCAGGTAGCAACAATGGCAGCTGTTAAACAGCTGCTTTTGGAAACTCTGAATGATTTGAGTGACAAGGAGCTCAAGAAATTTAAGTGGTCTCTGGAGTGGATTGTCTCCCAGAAGGACCTCCCAGATGTCTCACCGGAGTTTGGCCTCACAAACGACAGAGCAGAAATGGTGGATGTGATGTTGCAGACCTACAGCCAACAGTCTGTGCCATTAACCAGGGAGGCTGTAAAGAAAATGAACAGGACTGATCTGATGCAGAGGTTGTCAAAGCCCAGCTCAGAACTTGAAGGTAAGACAAAAAACTGTCATATTACATACATTTTATGATTCATAATTTGGAAATGGTAAATCTGCTTATGTACACACTCTATCATCACAAATGTGAAGAAATAAAACAAAGCAGGGATCAATAAATCATCAACTGAATCATAACTAAATCAATAACAGTCACACAAAGTGTTATAATTTTAATGAGTTAAGTAATTGTTGCAGGACTTTTGTGTTGGATTGCTTTCGACTGTGAAAGTGTTTATGATATTGTGAATTTGTTATATTTACTTTTGAGTCTACTTTTGAGTCTACCTGAGTCTTTTTAAAGTCAATCATACTTTCTCTGTTAGGTTAGAGTTTAATCCTCTGAGTCATTGTAAGTGTCTTTTCTCTGCAGAGGCACACTCAGTGGATGAACATGTACCTGCAATGTTGAAGAAAGTGAGTCTGACTTTACACATCACAGCTTTCATTCAGTAGATGCAGGTTGAAAACCATCCTCATCCTGAACATTATGAATGATGATACAAATCAAACCAAAGGTTTTAAACTTGATGGTTTTCACAGTTGAAGGGTAACTTCTGCGTTTTCTGACCTGGACCCTAATTTTCCTTTAAGTGACTAATGGGAACTACAATTTTTGAAAGTGGTTCGGTATTGAGCGAGACCGCTGCAGACAACAGTGGCAAAAGCAACTGTCAATTTACATCCACTATAAGTGCTTGCTTTTGCCACTGACAGGCTCAGATTGTTTGTGATTGTGATTACAAGTGTCTGACAATAGGCGCAAAATAAGTCTCACAAAAACCCTCTCGGTTGCAATAAACCCTGAATTCATCCAGTTAAATGCAAAATATCAACCAGCAACCTCCGGGGCTGAGAATAGAAGCCAACGTTACAGCAGAAATAAACATGTTTACAGCCTGACACAAAAAAAAAAAAACAGTTTTGGTCTCTGTAGCTAATTTCAACATTCACGACAATTGTATGGGGGATGGATTTTTTAGAACTCACTTGTTTACTTTTTTTTTTTTTTTTTTGGCTTAAAGTTGCGCATGTTTAACGATGGGGTGGCTTGAGTAACAGGCTGGGTGCGATGCGTTGCTGTAGTCTGTAATTTAGATCCATCCCTCACTTTTCCACAGCTCCACCCTCTCATCCAAATGTGGTCATTTCTCACTCCAAAAAGCCAGTTTGGCAACACCTGAAATGTCAAACTCAAGGCTTCAAAACAGCAGTGTACAACCCAGTGGGTGATGAAGACAATGCATATCTAAATATCTATTATCTATTATTTGATAAGTTATCTTATTCAGATTTTTAACTATGAAAATAAAATACTTACTTTCAAGTAGAGTAAAAAGTTTCTTTGAGTTACAGAAACAATGTGAAAACAATGTTAGATCAGGTGCTAGTAATCAGTTTACAGGTATTAAGGGGTAAAAGTATGAAGGGAATCATCTTTTGCTTTGATGCTGCTGAAGTAATGAATAGACATAAAATACTTTGTGTTTGTAAAGAAAAAGAGGGAAACATAATCAACAGAATATTTATTACCAACTGTGTCTTTGTCTTGAGTGATCATACAGAGAAAGTCTTAAAAGATCCAGGTCTAAAATACTGACACTGATGAAATGCAAAGAAATAGATGTTTTATAATGCCAGTTCAGAATTGACACATTTGCTTAATGCATCCTTTAAATCTTTCAGGCAGCTGTGAAACTGATTGTTTTGGAAACACTGAAAGATTTGAGTAAGAAGGAAATCGAGAAATTCAAGTGGTTGCTGCGGTTCACGCAGTTCCAAAAGGGTCTTCCACACGTCTCACTGAGCAGACTACAGGGGGCAGACAGTACAGACACACTGGTGGATCTGATGGTCCAGACCTGTGGCCAGCAGTCTGTGGAGGTGACCACGGAGGTTTTCATGGACATGGACAGGGCTGATCTAGTAAAGAGGTTGTCAATCATCAGCTCAAGAATCAAAGGTCAGAGAAAAAAGACAAAAACTGCCACATTACACAGTCATATGTTTCTCAGAAATGTTTAATAAATACATTTTAGATTTCATAGTGAAGCTGCATTCAAACTTTATTTAATCAATAAGAAATCTGAAAAATTAGAAAGCAGACAGCGACACAACCACACCACATTTATTACTTGGACTGCAGAAATCACTGAGTTGAATTCAACCTCTTTGATTTTCATGATGTCATGACTAAGTAGATTTTGCTGTCAGTTTTGCAGCAGTGAATTCTTTGTATTTTATTTTCTTTAAAAGCAAATGAACTTGAATCAACACTTCTGACACTGAATATCTCAATTTGACAGCTTTGTAAATTATATATTTTGATACATTCCAGACATTATAATCTTTATAAAGGTAGTGTTTGTTGCAGGACTTTTGTATTAGAGTCCTTTAGATTTAATGGGTGTTAATGATATGGTGTCCAACCTCTCTCATTCTGTTTTTATGATGTCAGATCCAAGTCCATTCTAGTGATATTTTGCGATTAATCCTCCATTAGGTTTTTAATTCAAAAGCAACTAAGTCTGACTTAAGTTGTTTATAGTCTGATTCTGAATCTGTGAAGAGTCATTCTTTTTTTTTTCTTCTCTTCAGAGAAACAGCCATCTGAACTGCTCCAGAAAGTGAGTAATATCACATCAGACACATTTTACAGAACACAGCTTTCTTTGAATTTTTACAGATTGAAAATGATCCTCATCTTAACAGTAAAGAAGTGGAAAACGTTTTTAAACCAGAAACATCACATCTGCTGTAAAAGCAATGAGAACATGTGATCAGGTGGATCGTTCCTGCTTTTGGTTGCACAGAGAGAGAGTTAGAGACAGTCATTAAAGCACAGTTACTGATAACCAGTTTATAGCATTAAATGGATCACACTGGCCCTCATTTATCAATCTAATGTACAAACCAGCACAGAACCAAACACAGAAATCATCTACAATAGGGTTCACGTTTTGAAAATGTTTGTGTCTTGCTGATTCAAATGATCAAGCGTCATTTAAATATAATACATATTGGTTTAGTTTACGGCACGGAGAGACATAATACAGCTAAAAAAAGAGTTTTAGATAAATTAGAGCCGAGCACCAGTGGTGTTCAGCCTTTCATCAGTAACACAGAGCCAGGCAACTGCGAGCTATGATAGAGAGACTGCGTCCATTTGGCAGCGTTAGATTTTTAAATTATTACTGTGGCTGCAAATACTTAATATGCCCTTCATAATATGATCTAATAAAAATGATCCAACTCAGCTTGATTTACTGTGCGTGAGTTGAGACGTGATGTGAGATTTGATCGTAGCCTCCGCTCACGTCCACATTGATCAATGCAAACTTTTGCGTGGAAATGACTGAATGCCCAGGTTTCTGTCATACGTTTATTTTGTAAATGAGGGCCACTGTATTGTGATGAAGCTACAGAAATGAACACATGGAAGGTCTTTGTTTTTATAGTCACCTTAAAATTCAATCTCACTAATTTATCATTTTGCCTTATGTGGTTAATATTAGTTGTTACAAATTTATTAATGTGTTACTACAGTGGAGCTATGACATAAATGTTCTCCTACTACTTTCTATCCATCAGGAAGTCACCATGACACCACTAATGGAGAAACTTTTGGAAACGCTGGAAGATCTAAGTGAGTGGGAGCTCAGGTACTTCAAGCATGTCCTACAGCACAGCAGAATGAAGAAAAGCCTCCCAAAAATCTCCACACAGAGATTGGAGACAGCAAGCAGAATTGGCATGTTGAAGCTGATGGTGGATTTCGACGGCCAACTTTCTGTGGAGGTGACAAGGGAGGTTTTAATGAAGATGAACAGGAGAGATCTCGCAGAGAGGTTGTCAGAAACCAGCTCAGGACTCAAAGGTAAGATGAAGAAGACAAAAACTGCAACACTACACAATCATATGTCTCATAAATGTTTACTTGATTTTTTTTACTTAAAGCCTCAGTGTGTAAAAATGGTGAGTAACAGTGACATCAGCGGTCAAATTCTAGATTGCAGCGCTCACTCGCGCTCATTTGCTCACCCCTCCCGTCGGGTAAGTGACGGTGGCCTCGTAGGACAAAAAGCCTTGCACCGACAGCAGAGATGGCATCATCCACGAGTTTTTCAGGAGTATCTAGCGAATATTTATTTAGGAATCTAAACCATGTTACGATATGTTATAGCTTACTAGTGAGATATAGGTTATCTGTGAGATATATGTTAGGAGTGTTTTATTTCTAATTGTTTTGGTAACACGAGCAAACATTAACACAGTAATGCTAAAATAACACGTTTTATGTGATAGTCACGGCACAGTGCGGCAAATATAGGTTGGTGCGATTATAATATATGCGTTTCCAGAGTGTTCTTCCACAGGACACAGGGAGATGAGGGAGAGGGGAGAGGGGAGAGGGAGAGGAGGAAGACCAGGGAGAGCAGGAACGGCCAGGCGAGGAGGTAATATCTCGGCTACCCAGAGGAAAGATGAGGAGGAAAAGGTGGCAGCCTTCGCAGCAGCGCGAGAGGAATCAACAGATAAGGCTGTAGGCTAGGCTAACCATTTAGCTGTAGCTGTGGGATAACGTTAGCCAAGGCTAGGATAACGTTAGCATGTAAACGTAACCATCACTCGAACTTAGACGAGAGGGAAAAGTAGTTACAAACATGAAGCCAAAATGATTTTAAAATATCAGATTGAATTACCTGTCTAGCAGAAAGCAGGCAACCTCCGCATCCCTTGTGAAATCCTTCTCATCAGGAGTTCTTTCCACCTGGAATAAGCAACGCCGACATTCACTCGCGTTTTGTCCCGTCCTCGCTTATCTGATCTTTTTCTTTTATTTGGTGGCGTGGTTTCCCTCTTACAGGGCAAAACATTTGTGTGGTCCCTCATTTAAAGTGCGACAGAATCATAAAAGTACAAAGCAGGTTCACGCAGAAGCTCCCGGATTGATCTTCACCTTCTCCAGTGACGGCAAGTTCTAGGTAAATGCGAAGCGCTTATATCTCTTTCGGCCACTGTATTCAAATATGGCGACGCAAGAAGGCAGCCTCCAGCATACCGCGCCCTGCCTGTGTATATATATACACCGCACCCTGCCTATGAGAAAGCTTCCATTTGTATGTGAATTGCATTACACTTTAGTAAATATATATTTATGAAAGCAATAGTTGATATTTGCTAATAAACAACCACGTAAATTACACATTGTAACTTTAATATTTTTCATGTGCTTGTGTGTGTCAGAGTGTGTGTGTGTGTGTGTGTGTGTGTGTGTGTGTGTGTGTGTGAAGCACTTTGTAGCTGTGTTTTAAAAATGCTGTATAAATAAAGCTTTATTTACTTGTTTACTATTGAACAATTCATAGTGAAACTGGGTTCAAACTTTATTTAATGAAAAATTATTATATTATATTGAGTCCTTTAGATTTAATGGGTGTTAATGGTTTATGGTGTCCCACAAATCTTCCTGATTGATTTTAGATCAGATCTGAGCCCAAATTAGTGTTATTTTGGATCTAATCCTTAATATTATTCTTAATCAAAAGCAACTAAATCTGACTAAAGCTGTTTATAGTCACAGTATAGTTGTTTGAATCACTCATGGATCATTTTCTGTTTTCATTTTCTTCAGAGGTACATCAGTCTGAACCGCTCCAGAAAGTGAGTGATGTCACATCAGACACATTTTACACAACACACCTTTCATTTAATTTTTACAGGTTGAAAATGATCCTTACGTTGACACTAAAGAGGTGGAAAATGTTTTTAAACCAGAAACATCACATCTGATGTAGAAGCACTGAGAACATGTGATGAGGTGGATCATTACTAGTTATGGTAGCACAGTGACAGAGAGAGGGTAAGAGACAGTCAGTAAAACATATTACTGATAACTAGTTCATAAATGAATAATTTAGTGAATCATTGTGCCTTAATGTGATCATTAGCTGTTATAATACTCTCTTGACTTAACTGTTTTTATTGATCCAGATAAATTAATGCATTATCACTACAGTGGAGATATGACATAAATGTCCTCTAACTAATTTGTATCCATCAGGAAGTCACCAAGACACCACTAATGGAGAAGCTTTTAGAAACACTGAAAGATTTAAGTCCCGGGGAGCTCAAGAAATTCAAGCAGTACACTAAAATGGAGACAGATCTCCCAAAAATCACAAGAGACCTAGTGGAGATGGCAGACAGAGTTGAAATAGTGGAGCTGATGGTGAAGATCTATGGCCGACAGTCTGTGGAGGTGACCAGCAAAGTTTTGAAGAAAATGAACAGGACTGATCTGGTGGAGATGCTGTCAGAACCCAGCTCAGGACTCAAAGGTAAGATGAAGAAGACAAAAACTGCCACATTACACAATCATATATTCCAAACACGTCTAATAGATTTCCATATTCATAGTAACAAGGTAAATCTGCTTGGTTTCAAACTGTAATGTGAGATATGAAAAAATGAGGGAGCAGACAGCGATGCAATAACACCACATCAGCCAGAACTACCTCCCAGAGAAACTTAAGCGTGATGCTTATACTAATGCCTAATGCAGCAACTGTCCACAGGCAGGACAAGTTAGGTTGGTGTTTGAGCTTAGAAATTCATCTGTGCAGAATGCCAGGGAGGTGAAGAAGTGGCCAACATGAAGGAAGAGAATCACAGCAACAAGGGAGGTGGACAACTTGGAAGGCAGTCACCAACAGGGCTATAACTTGAGACAATGGGCTCTAGTTTCCCGGCGCAGTGCAGGGTGGCGCAGGGTGGCAAACCCCGCGCAGAGCTAGTTTCGAGCGGCGCAACCCGAGGCGTGCTCAGTTTGGTAGTTTGGCAGACCGAGGTGCGCTGAGATGGGTGTGGCGGCGCAGCAGGGGGAGGTGTCGACAGATCCAGCTTGGCGCAGTGACAGTTTCGTGCCAAAAGGCTTCGCCAAAGGTGTGCTAAAAGCTCGCCAGCTGAAACCATGTCTACTGTCAGCGCAGGCGGAGCGCAGCCAGTGTAAGCCGAAGTTTGGCTGACCAGCGGACAGTGCGCACACGTCACCAAAACCTCACAGGCAGGTTTCCAGAATGTCAGGCACATTAACGATGCAATAAATACCCCAAAAAACACTATACAATGCAACTATCTGCAATCAGCACATAAATGTATCTCTATATCGACTGTCCCGTCACATCTGATGTCAGATCAAAGGGGATTGGCACCGTTTGGCACCGTTTGGCACGCATAATGGAAACCCAACCTGATTTGATTAACACAGTTGAAAACTAATGAGTTCACATCCCTCTCAGCCAACCACAAACAGCCACAGCATCAGATAGGGAGTATATATTCAGCATCTGTCATCTTAGAAAAGTCAAAAGAAAAGAAACAGAGTGAGACTGCGAGAGAGAAAGAGAGAGCGCGTGCGCGCACGAGAGAAATGCAACATTGATTTACAATTGTGCTGACCTCCTCCCAGGCTACCTTTGCATCATCAGCCTATAGAGGTCTGCTCGCAGTTCTGTATATTCGGACACTGCGAGCTTGGACCTCCCGGACCAAAACATCAGTTTCCTCCTGGTAGAAGTTTGGCCGTCTGTCTCTGCTGCTCTCTTCTGCTATGGTGTATTGAGTAAACTCTTATTACGCCTTCGCGCGGCGCATTTAAGGGCGAGGAGAGGGGCTCATTTGATTGGTGTGATGTGTGTAAAAACCCACTCCACCCCTTCTCTCCTCCCTCTTTCCGACTTGCGCAGGTAGGAGGGACGGAGGTGGGATAGAGGAGTAGCTGCGCCAGGCGCACGGTGTGCCAGACTTACAAAATCCGCCTGGCCACACCCAGTTGGCGAAGCGCAGGTGTGCTGCGCCTCCGCCGCGCCCGGTCTGCGAAACTAGAGCCCAATATGTTTAGGATACAGGCAAGATTTAGCTCACTCATCAGGTCTACATACAGTAGCTTCCCAAGTCCCAGAAATCTGAACGGCCATCTTTGCAACACCCAAAAACCAAGCTTGAGACATATTCTCTCTAGCTGCAAGACAGCACTGACCCAGGGCCAGTGCAGCTGATGTCCTGCAAAAGTTGGCAGAGGGCAGATAAGCACGCAGACTAGAATTACATAAGGCCAGCCCCTCAACATCACGATGGCAAATCTATTTTCATCAGTCAATGAGGTGGAACACAGAACGCTACACAGAAGGCAGATGAGGCCGTCAGTCTGTCACTTACTGTACTGACAGTTTGCTCCAACATGGACACACACCACAACAAAAAAAAAAAAAACACAGTCAGGACCAACACATCATTTTCTATCCCCACTGCAATAAAAAGAAGGAAGCTGGAGCATCTTGATGGCCAAATGGTTACAGCATGCAATGTAACCACAACATCCACAGTTTGATTCCATCTGTTGGACCTTTATGTCCTGTCATCCCCTCTCTCACTGTCCCAGACTTCCAGTCTGCCTGCACACTGTCATCTGTCCAATAAAGGCAAAAAATGCAAAGAAAAAATATCTAAATAATAATTAAAGAAAGCCATCGTTCCCAAATACGGTTGGAAGTTGGGGATAAATCTGATGACTGACCTGCTGCATGTATACACAGCTTAACAGTAACCTGGTTACTACAGTGCACTTAAACACACTGAATGACTGCAACATCAACACCCATTACTGTACATTACAATCCTAACCTACTGTTACATATTGCTCTCATGTTTGAGCAGCAAGTTACGTGCTTTTAATTATCAACTTAACATGTAGTTTTAATCTTCTGTGTCTTCACAAGGGCCTTCAGAAAGCTTGGAGCTTGAGGGCTGTGGAAGCATTATGGTAATTCTTTACATTCATTCATTCATTTGTTTAGTTTAGTTTAGTTTATTAGGATCCCCATTAGCTATTCTTCAGGTGAGTTTATTTGTCATTCAGTCATTTATTTTATCAGTTAATGTGATGTTACTAAGACACATCTTCACTTCTTTGTAAAAATGACTGTCCTCTGCAGCAGGACTCCAGTGACTGGACTGAAGTTGAACCTGAAGTGAACAGTACAGATGCAGACAAGGCTTCAACTTACAGGTAAATATAAGATCCTAAATGTTCCATGACAGCTAAGCGTCATTGTTTGGGGCTGAAAAATGAAGCCCATGCTGAAGCAATGTCAGGAACCAGACTGATGACGATGAGCCTCTTGGGGAGAAGCCCATATTTTGGGCTTATTCGGTAGTGGTGGGAATCACCAGAGCATCCGCGATATGACAGTATCAGGATACTTAAGTCACGATACAATATTATTGCGATAATAAATATGTTGCCATATGCTGAGTTTTGTGATAAAATATATTGCAATTTATTAGCTTTTTTCAACTGTAAATTATGTCCCCAAAGAAAAACTTTGTCAACATCTATTGTATCTAATAAGATAAAGTTTTGAGTCTGTTCATCTCACTTTAGCCACTTTTTTGCAGAAGCGAAATTTATCTAGTAATAATGATTAAATATTCTTGTAGACTACCAAAAGCTCATTTGTAATATTAATGATTTATATAATAAAAAAATATCAGTTCTTGGCACTGTGTGATGATACAACATTGCCACACAAAAATATTGTGATACTGTGCTGAATGGATTTTTACCCCGCTCTTATTATCCGGTATAGCAAGCTGATATCCAAATCAAGACTTCTTCCTCTGTGCACCCATCATTTCAGCTAATCTCTATATCTGCAGATGAATGCAGATAATTTGATAACTCTGGTTTGTTTGTTCCTCATCCTGGTGATTGACACATCTAGGTGACACCATCGAATGTGTGTTATTATGTTTTGTATGTTGTTATATTCACGTCCCCTACATTGGTAGAGCAATGCCTGCACACCATCTTGTGCATAACTCTCTCTAGTGCTGTTGTAGCTGACCGGTACACTGGAAACCAGCAGATGGGTCCTCTAGCCCCAGTGTATTAATTTGTGTCCATCATAGTGACTTATTCGCACACCAATCCATCTGTTGTGCTAATTTCAGCTTTTGTTCATTGTGTTTCATATGATAGACCCACATATATTGGTCACTGTCTCATTATAAATCTGACTTTGGTCAATACTACTTGGACTACAAACGGACTACAAACAGAAACCAGAACACTTCTGATACCAAAATCTGTCCCATTGCCTGCAGATTCTGTATACATATATGCAGAATTTGTTTATAGAGATTAACACAGAGGTGCCAAAAACTGCAGGTCCTCAAATGGCCAATTGAGACTGGCCCCAAAAGGGAGTTAATCCTCATAGATCCCCATGTTAAAATGGCCAACTTATCAGCAGAAATAAATATGTTTACAGCCTGGTACAAAAATGTTCTGGTGAGCTTTTAAATAACACACCCCTGTAAAAAAAAAAATAAAAAAATTAAGGTTTATAATGACGCATGATCAAGGGTGTGGCTGCTGTGAGTGACAAGGCTGCCTGTAGATAGGATGAAACCTTCAAGCTTGGTTTCACAGAAGGGAATCTAAAATCTCTCTGTGCTGTTACTGGTTACTAATGCAATAAAACAATTATAGTGGCAATAGATTTAACACCAAATAAACTGAAGGCTAATATGCTTGAGTTTTACATTTATTCCTTTGTGACCCTAATACAGTATTTTTGTGCATAGACACAAACTCACTTGTTTTCTTTTCATTCACATTTAGCCTACAGTCTGAAGCAGGAAACTTTGAATGCAGTGTCTCTGGCTTGCGCTGGGTCTGTAAGGAAAAGGTCAGCTTTAAGTACCAGTTTTGCTCTTGGGAAGGACCTATGGAAAGGATAGAAAGCATGCAGTACATGGCTGCAGGTCCCCTGATGGACATCACAGTCATTGCTGGGAAGTTAGATGTAGTGTACCTGCCACATTGGATCTGCATAGGTAAGTGGACATAAAGAAAATAATAAAATAAAAACTAACTTTTCTATTTATATCTCATAGCATGTGTACAAAAACTGACGCATTCCTTTTCTCTTCACTTACTGTGTGTGCTTTTATTTTGTGCAGATGACAACCCTACAATATTAGACAAGTTTGTAGTCCTACACATAGATGACTGTGGAGATGTCGTGGAAAAAGTGTCTGAGGTCACATCGTCCCATGTCAAGCTGTCTGAACCAGTTTTCTCTCCAAGAGCGGTCCTGATGAAAGCTGGCCTGTTGGTGAAAATACGCTGTAATGTGTTGATATACAAGACCAACACAGCATTCCTCACTCTCCATGTTTATCTGATCCCATGTGATCCGGGTCTACAACAGGTTATTTCATAACTTACTGTCGTCAATACCAATCATAATAAGACACAGAATGGCACAGTCAATAACTTGATTAATATACAACACAGATTACAATGTTTTCTGCATCAACCTTGTAGCAACTTTGTGTTAAGAGTTTGGTGTGTTTTTACAGGAAATGGACAAGAGGGAGTTATCCCGTGGATACAAAATTATCCAAAAGCCACATCCAGAGAAGTCCCTGAAAATGCGAGATCGTTTCATCCTAACAGCAGATTTGGACAGTGCAGACATTTGTCCTGAAGTATGTTTTAAACCATTTAAGAATAACTGCTCTATGTTTTGTGATTTGAAATGAAAAATCATTACAAAATGATCCAAATTTACTTAAATGTTTTGATTCTTGTCTCATGAGAAATTTACATTGAAACAGTCTAGTTAAAGACATTGAAATGTCTTAAAACATTTTTATTTATTACTCATAAACAAACTGTGACACTACTCATAAGTTGTGTTTTCCAGAAAGCAATGACGTCTTAAAAGCTTTTTATATACAAAGATTGTGGCGTTGGGCCGCTACAAAGTTGCTTCTTTATGCCGCCTTTGCATTTTTACACAGAACCTAATGACGGGGGCATCATGCTGCTCGAGTGTGGAGATTTTAAATAGCATGCAGGCATTGCGGAAGCAAAAGAGGCACAACAAGCATGACATGAAGTGATCAGTAGGGTACTGAAAATCTCCACTTACAGGAAATGGCCAATTTAGATTGAAAATACAGACAGTACTTACTGACCCTCATGCCGACAAGAAGTCCAGTGTAGTTTTTTAATCCACAAAACTCGTTCGGGGTATCAGAGGATAACAGCTAGCCGGAATAACAGCTACACTCGAAGTGCACGGAACCCTCATTTTGAAAATGTAATAAAACTCCGCTAATGCATTTCAAAAACATCAGAACGACTCGTCCGTCATAATCCAAGTGCCCTGGCGCACGAGTTGACATGTAAACACAACAGCCTGCAGGGCAGGCTAACTGACCACAGTGAGAAATGATGCTATAAAAGTGGAGTAAATTACGTCTTTTCAAGTCAGTTTTGCATGCTGCAGCTTCAGGGCACTTGGATTACGACGGACGAGCTGTTCTGACGTTTTTGAAATGCATTAGCGGAGTTGCACTTCAAGTGTAGCTGTTATTCCGGCTAGCTGTTATCCTCCGATACCCCAAACGAGTTTTGTGGATTAAAAAACTACACTGGACTTCTTGTCGGCATGAGGGTCAGTAAGTACTGTCTGTATTTTCATTCTAAAGTGGCCATGTCCTTTAAGTACTTCAAAAAACAAATAAAAAATTCATTTTTGAAAAATCAATAGTGCTTTAGTTCAGGCGGAGATGGGCTTCCTGGCTTGCACTTGAGGTGTTCCTTGTGTGCTCTCCTCCTACACTAGATTGAATTAATGTTGTATTTGTTGTAATGAAGGTAAAAAAGGCAAATGCAGTGAAATAAAAAAAAGATTATTGGCTCAAAAATATCACCATCACCATATCTTTTTCTTTTTTTCTTTTTTTTTTTACAGACATTAAAGCTCAGACATAAAAACATAAATTTCTTTGAAGTGTTCATTGAAAATCCAGACAAAGTTTTCAAGCTCAAGCTTGAACAAGTAAATGATCATCAACCAGTGTGGACCTGTACAGTTCGAAAAGGTCAGTTATAATAATACCACAAGAATTTAAATACAGTCTGAGTACCACATGGATTTTATTGAACATCATTATTGAAGCAGACATCTATTGATAAAAGGCAGTAAATCAGCTACATATTCATATTTCCTTATCTCTGCATTATTTTTACAGATGACTACCAAAGCAGCACTGGTCCTTTACAAGGTAAAATATTTTTAAATGATTTGTGTTAAGAAGAATTGCACTTTAGATTTCACTCTGTTTTGTCTGTCTGTCTGCTGCGCTGTGATGTGTTCACAGTAAACACAAAGTGAATTTCTTTGCATTGTGAATTTTTGCATTGCATCAAAGTCAGGAGTGTTTATTTAAAATACAATACAGTTTACCAGTCTGAATATTTATTTTCTTGTCTCTGTTCTGTATTCAGTTGAATATCGTTCACAAAAGATTCACAAATAATTGCATTCTGTTTTCATTACATTACATTTTACATTTTAATCAGGGTTGTATTGTTCACATTGTCCACGGCAGCACATTACTACTTCACTCCTCCCACTGTCTTTCCAATAACTAACTTAAATTACTCAAAGCATTTTGCTAATAAGCAACTCAACAAAATCGCTAACACAAGTCCAAATGCATATTCTCAGAGCTTAACCGTGTAGTGCTATGGCTTTGCTCACTAATCTCTGAGCCCTCTCCTTTTTATGTTCTGTCTCTGTACAGTATTGACACTGAGTCACAGACAGCGACAATGTGTTTATCCTCTATTTCTGATACTTGGTAATCTCAGGAGAATCTGTCAGGATAGGCTTGTGTGTCACGCAAATTCTTGCGCAAATGTAAAATTTTCAACTGGCTCGAATAGTGCCATCTGATTTACAGTAACCTGGTTACTTCAAACCAATAAAATTTTGAATGTTAGGCTGTCCGACAGCGACAAGCCATTTAAGCTCGACAGGTGTTTGTGGTGTTCTTTTCTTTCACAAGTGAAAAGATTTGAGTGTCACTTTGCAATAAATCAATCCTCTCTTTCTTTTAAATCGTAAAGGAACTGATGTCACCAGATATTACCTAAACAGATTTTTCTGCCCTCAGGGGAGCACTTTGTGGATAAACACCAGTGTGCTCTGATTGAGAGAGTGAGCAATATAAAACCAATCTTGGATAATCTCCTGAGAGAAAAGGTTATCCAACAAGAAGAGTATGATGCAATCAGTGCCCTCAAAACCAGTCAGGAGAAAATGAGGAAACTCTACAGTGGTGCCCTGAAAGCTGCTGGACATGACGGCAAAGACGTCTTCTACAAAGTCCTTGAGGAGAACGAGAAATATCTTGTTGCTGATCTCAAGAGGAAGGAGTCATAAATCCTGTGATCAGAGTAAATTTGCTCTTTTGTTATATTTCCGCTCTGAGACTGTGGAGCTGACCCTGTTTTTCTCTTATTTTGATTCTACACAAATATAATAGCTTGTTTGCAATCATGTGACTTAAGACTCGCTAAATTTAGATGGAGGGAAGGTAGTGATGAAACCCATATAGTGCGTGAATTTGAAATAGAGAAGGGTGACTACAAAGAAGGGTCGGACACTATCATTGTTAGAATTTACCTTGTCCTTCAGACCTCCTAATGCTATTCATGTTACTCCGTGAGCTAGTGAAAGTGTTGTAGTGTCTAGTGGACTATAACCAGTACTGGAGATGAGGGGGGATGGCATCCCCCTTGAAATAAAAACGGTCAGAATCATCCCCCTTCTAAAACTGCCATCCCCCCTTTCCATCCCTTGTGTCATTTTTTTAATGAATGTGGTATTACTGCTATTTCAGCATTTAGTTTTAACTTTGGTTTTACGTATATTAAATAAAATACTGTGGGCGAGGGCACACATGCAAAGATGTTCTTATATCATATCTCAGCAAGCTGTGCCGTTGATGTTATGCCTGTGCCCTATAGAGGGCACCCGAACGATGCATAGTGCGTCCAAATTCACACTTGTTCTTCTCTATGGATTTTCTCCACAACCGTGCGTTGTAGCAAGAAGCCACTCATATTACGTTAAACAGCGGAACCGCAGCTTTCCGACAAGACCACGCACTTGTCGGTAGTCTAATTTTTTCACAGTGAAAAAAATGATAAAATTACACTAAAATGATGTATAACAAAGCTTTCATACAGCTTTCCACACACATTGCTCTTGGATGGATTACTCGCAAATGCAGGGTCGCACAGAAATGCCACGCATATCACATGAAAGGGCAGGACCAGAGCTTTCCGATGATACCACACACATCATTGTGCTGTCATCCCATCATGCTATAAATACAGAGCAATTGTCTACAAAATAAAAACCTGACAAATTTCTTTACAATCCATTATACAGATCAGTCACTTCATATAGTGAGGAATAATATTATTACTATTTTTCTGTTATCTTAGATGTAAATATTGCATGGTTCTTTAAAATAAAACACATTTTTGACTTGTGAATGAGTCAATCGAATTTTTTGCAATAATGAAAAAATGCTGGCAATCACGCCTGGCACAAACCACATGTTTTGGACATCTGTGAAGTGACAGAATGTCCCAGCATCATGGTTCTTATATTGCCAGATTCCAGAGAGTCCCCCCTCTTCATATATGGCAGAATATGTCGACTTCCAACTTGCTATGGTGAGATACATGTAAAAAATTTAGTAACACGGATTTGTTTTCATTGATATAAAAATTAATATAAAATACAGGCACATAGGAGGACATGTGGTGATGGCAAATCTGGTTAGCCCAGATTGTCCTGAAAACCCCCCCAAGATTTAGCATGTGTATGTAGCCTTTATAATGACTGTGATATGAGCTTAAATGTAAAGGCAGGAAAAATACCCCAAAAAGGCCTAGGGCCCAAAGGGTTAAACAGTGATATTAAAAGGAAGGTGAGAAATTATTTTCAGCCCGAAAACTATTTTATCTCCAGTGGGTTTTTTTAAAATCCACACTTGAATGTTGGGCATTTTCAAGAAAATATGTAGTTTTCTTAAAAATCAACTGGAAGAGTAATGTCATGTGCTTGCATAAGATTTCTGCTCAGTCATTCTAACAAAACCATAATGAGCTTGTTTTCTTCACATAGAGGGTAACTATGGCCAGCAAGCAAGGGCAAGAAATAATGAGATCAAAAAGCATGACTATGAAAATCTCTGGAAACTTTTATGAGATAGGGGAGAGTGGGGTAGGCAGCCATAGAATCATAGAATTGGACCTATGTATTTTGTATTATTTGTATTTTTAATATGTTTTTATATTTTAAGTTTCAATTTGCACTCCATGCCCTGAAGTTGGGAATTTTAACCTACAATATTTGTATTTGTATCAGTAAAGATCAACATTTCTTTTTCATTTTTTTTTTTGAAGGGTTTCTTGTTTAATTTATATGATTTAATTAATCACAATTAAAGATTAACCCTTATATACCAGTTTTGATCGTATACCACTAACTGCTTTTTGAAAAAATACACTATGATTCAATATTCTAAAAGCAAAATTGACTTTGATTATTATTAGTATCATCAGTTGACCCAAGTAGAAGAAGAAGAAATCATTTTGCACTTGTCCTGTGCATTTGACCCTAACTATGTAAGAGCAGTGGTGCTATGGCAGACCCTCTGTGCTGTCATCAGCACAATTTATGTCCCCATGTGATAAAATCCACCATCCCCCCTGATTTTTTTTTACAACTTGAGTACTGACTATAACTATTTTGTGTTATCTGGGTCCACGACTGAAACGACTACCATCTTGTTCTTGGCCAGGTGTTCATGGGAGACACCGTTGTCAGGCTGATGTTACCAGCTAACATTAGCTAACTTTGGCTACTGTTTTCTACCTAATGTTACGAGGTTAATCGATCCCAGAGGTCTGAGGTTTTGGATCCACATCTGCTGCTGTTTCTCAGTTACTTTTTAAAAATACTTCTCCCCTTTACGTCCTACTGTATACGGGACATAAATTGGCTCTTGTTTTTCCCCAAGTTTTATTGATTGGAACGGCTGTAAGCAGCGCAAATCAAAGGCATTGGTGCAGTGTTGGTAGACTTTGCCTCCAGCTGCCTTCAATCTGGACAGAGCACCAGTGTAATACATCATATGCAAAGACACTATCATGGCTGTGCACTCTCTAAAAACATGTTTACATATTGTCTAATCTCTGTTTGTCTAGCTGTTTGCTTTTCAATAAATAAATTGTCTTGATATGACTTAATTCTTATGTTTGGTCTCTTGTCCACCTGATAAATATTTGTCATATATTAAATTAATATCTGTCCCTTTAGCTCCTTAATGCTCCACTATGTGCAACAGCTAGTCCCTAACTGTGTTGTTCTGCTGTTTGCTGCTGAGCAGGTAGTGAATAGTAGGTTTTTAGAGCAAAACACATCATTAGAGCAAAGACAGTAAAGCAAAACAGTAAAATTGTGGGCTGGACAGTTAAACAATGAGCTGAAGCTCACTGTAAAGCTCTGTGAAGATAAAGATAGCTGCAGATTCAGGTCATAATTGTAGGTTCATCACTACCAGACACCTTATATTGTGCTTCCCCTACCTACAGTTAGGCCAACACCAAAGAAACACCATATGAGAAGGAACTTGTAGGCCTACAATATTTTTAGCATTTGGGCTTTTGTTATAATTAGACATGAACACTGAGTAAAAAGTTCAATAACACAGTTTTGTGGGAAACATTCATCATTAAATTGAGGATGATTCAGTCCTAAGTTTCTTATAGGAGCCGGAGTCTGGTCATTATTGTACACATCAAGTGTAGATATTTCACAGTTGGTATATACAGACACAGATACCTCACATGAATGATGTTTGATTGTCCATAGTTTTCGTATGTGTGGTCCACTGGGAGCAGTGTTGGATGTATAGTCTGACAGCACAGCGGGTGAAGTAGCCAGTCACTGAACGAGCTGCCCAGTGCTGACAAAGTGTCCTGCATGGGGTGGGACATGTTGACCATAAGGGATGATAGCTTGGCTAGCATTCTCCTTTCTCCCACCACGTCCAGCGGGTCAAGAGAGCGCCCCAGGACACAGCTGGCCTTCTTTGTCAGTCTGTTGAGTCTCTTCCTGTCAGCTGTCGAGATGTAGGTACTTCATACCTAACCAGTAATATACATTTTAATACACTACCTAAAGAAAGCTTTGATGGCTGGGACATTTGCAGTATTTGCGAAGCCAGATATGGTGGTGAAAATGTTACCAAGACGACTGAATATTGGATCGTGGCCTCATTGAAGACAGGGAAGCATTTATTTGCACTGGCTGTACTGACATATAGACTAACCTTCTATACAGAGAGCATAAATGAAATTAAGCCTGTGTGAATTAGTTATAAGAAGAGATATTCATGAAGGTTCCTATTTTTTAACATTAAATTTATACAAAATAATTTAAACATACTGCAAGTGGGCAAAGGAAGGAGAAGGAAGATAATGAATCTGCTGTACCTGAACCCCTCCTTTAATAAAAACATGTTTAAACTGTTGTTTGTATTAAATCTCTGCATTTAATCCATTAGACCTATACTGAAATAACAACAGAATGTGGTTTAAGTGTCCCAGTTTGCCAGTAAAGGTGTCCCAGACAATAACTCCTGGAAAATGTGGTGTGTTTGAGTAAGAGTCATCCATCCTGTGTTACGTGTTTCTCTCTTTTTTCTTCTGTGTAGCATTCTAGAGCTCTAAAGCTATTTAAAATAGTGTCATGAGAGGGGCTGAGACAGTTAGATCATAATTAAAACTGACACAGAAGGTAAATTATCTGAAAGTGTCCCACTTTAGCAGTATTCACACTATAATGTTTGAGTTCTGGACGATATATGAAATAGGGTATGCACTGAATAGTCACCAAAAAGTTGCAAACAATTAGAGTTAGTCACTGGTCGGCCTCCATGTGACGTCTATGAAACGTGTTTCACTGAGCTACACTGATACATGACCTCCAGGATGCCAAACAGCTGTATCAGTTGTTAACAGCCATGTGTTGCACTGATAATGACGACAGCGGACATGCGTGCGTGTGCATCTGAGAGTGTTTACTCTCCAGGAAGTGCTTGCCCTCATTTAATGCCATGTAACAATTCATAAGCAAAACCAATTTGTTGGCCTCCACTTACCAGCTGAGACCTTTTCCTTTTCTGTAAGCCTTTAACCCTGCAGACAGGAAGGAAAGAAAAACACAAGTTAGAGTCCACATGTTGAGTTCTGCCATGGTTCAAAAACAAAACATCCAGACATAGTTCCCAGAGCAGAACCATAGTCTTTGGCTAATTATGTGTGCTCTGGAGAAGAGAGTGAGACCTAGCCAGCAGAGTTGTTTTTATCAGAGTGTCATATGAGGAAAGAAGTGAGTGACGAAGAGAGATAGAGAGCTGTGATGACAGCTGTCTGACGGATGGACAGCAGGAGGAGGGAGCCCCTGTGAAACATCACATGTACAACACAGAGGATGCAAAAACGCAGGAGAAACACAGAGCAACACATCCATCTACTAAGAATGAGTGAAACTCCCATACAGCTTGAGGTAAGACCTTTTAAAAAACACTAAAAGTTGGCCATGTTATTATGAAGCTGTGTTTACACAGTAATGAAAAGTGTTTTTTGTTGTTGTTGTTGCTGGAAACTGGAGCAGAGCCATGTGTGTTCCTGGGCGATATTATTTAGATTGTGTGGTTTCGTGCGGTCTGCAATGTGCTCAAATTATTTTTGCCACAATATAAAATGATGTTGTTCTTATCAGCATTTTCTGGTGACTTTGGAAGACTTCAGACAGAAAACATACTGTACATAGATAAGCTGCGAGTCAGTGCTGGTGATATTAACCTGAGCTATGAGTTAACTGAACTGTTAAGTACATGTCACTGGAGTTATTTAAGTATTTATTTATGCCATTTAAGCTAATGTTACAGTTGCTCTGATTAAAACTTGGTGGTGAGATCAGAAACTCTGTGTGGTTGTTTTTTGAGGAAATACTGAGAGGCTTCTAGGTGTGGTGCAGAACAGTGGAAATGACTCAATCTGTGATCAAAAATTAACAATGGATGATCAGGGGCTTCTGGGATACTACACATCAGTGTTAGGTCTTGTGGAGTGTTTCGGGCCAAGTTCTATAAAAGATCAGATAAAAGAGACAGGACATGAGACATGACGAGCTGATGACCACACTCATGTACACAAAATTTGTCTTCCTCAACACGTTTTCTTTCTCACCTAAGTTTTTACTAACTTTTTGCAAAGCTATAAATAGAAAGCACAACATCAACACAAGCAATAATAGAATAGAATACAAACTAAAAATATACAGTAACAGCAATTGGCTTGTAAATGTTTCAATATTTATCTTCTAATTAGGCATTTATTTAGCTGGCGTCATGTCCCATATAAATGTTCCCATTTTTTTAAGTTCTTTTAAAATTGTATTCTCTTTCATTTTCAAAACACTTGTAAACTTTTCCATGACGAGAATGCCTTCGACAATTTCCAGCCAGTGTTTCTGTTTCAGAGCATCTACATTAAACCAATGTATAGCTAATATATAGCTTCCTTACTTGCTACACGTAAGACTTAAATCAAGTAAATATCTCCTCTCATCACAACACTCTATCCTGATAAAAAAAATACTCACAACTTAGATTGATTTTTATGCTCAACTTACATGATAATCAAGGAACAGACACATAATTTGAGGTAGCCAACAACCCGCTTTTATACATTCAAAGAACTTCTATAAAAAAATGAATTGCTTGGCAACCAGATCAGGCGTCTAATTGAGACAGGCCTTTATTTGTCAAAATGTGTAGCCACACCGAGCTAGTCAAAGGGCTTGGTGTTTAATTGGGACTAAGGCTTTTAATTGAAGTTTTACTGTATGTATGTATATCAGTCACTACTGAGTAAATAGGCTACATCAGCAGGGGAAAAATCCCCAAAATATTGTGTTTAGTTCTGTACAGTTACACTGTCGTTCCACTTGCTCACTTCCAGCCTCAGTTATCAATCCAGCCATCATCACAGCAAGAACCTGAGAGGGGGCTGCGGCCTCCACCTCTGTTTCAGCTACCACTCCCCACCCAAGATCCCCATCAACAAAGCCAGTTCCAGCCTGAGCTGCAGCTGTCAGAGCCTAACCCCGAAAACCAGCGGCAAGCAGAGCCAGAGTGGATAAACTGTCGAAGGCTGCTCCTCTTCTTTTATGGGTTCTTATTTTGTGGTTCTGTTTGGGGACTTATTTACCATATGCACCGTAATCTTCAAAACCGAAGCAATAACCAGACAGACAAAGGTAGGCCTCCAGAGAAACACAACGTGACACCATGAATTCAGGATTTGATGTTTTGTCTCAACTCTTGTTGTACTCTTCCCTGTAGTGACTCCATGTCTCTCCTCGGCCTGTCAGTTGGCCTCAGCCCGTCTGTCCATGTCTGCTGATCCCTTCACGCAGCCTTGTGATTACTTCTTGTTCACATGTGGATCTGACAGACTTTCACTGGACAGTGGGGGGAGGCAGAGAGGTCAGGGCATCCCTGGACATCCACAGAACCTGAAGGGAAAGGCTGTGTGGCCGGACAGGATCAGACAGAGTACAGAGAGAGAAGACAGAGGAGTGAGAGAGGAGAATATGCTGGACAGAAAAACCATGCTGCTGCAGTATCTCAAGGAGATTTTGGGTAGTATTCTGCAACCAAAATATCCTCTAACATATTTCTGCATCATTATATCAATGTATTCTCTGAATCGTGTTTTTGTTGTTCCTTTTTTGAAGAATCAAACGACAGTCCGGGTAGTACAGCTGTGCAGAAGGCCAGAGCATTTTACCATTCCTGTTTGGACACCAGATCTATACAGACCGCTGGAGCAGAGCCCTTCCTCACACTCATCCAGAAAGTGAGATAATTACTTGGTTTTAAAATGTGGGCCTTTGGCTGATAAATCCCAAAAGACAGGTTGTTAAATACCATGTTCCCTTATCACTTCTCTTTAAAGGGATACTGTAAATGAACTGTGGTAAACTTCCTTCCATTTTACCAGCGCCAAGATCTCCCTGCTCATTTCCCAGCACTGGATAACATGCTCCGCGGTTTTAGCTTGAACTGCAGATTGTACTTAACATTTTCATACACACAAAGAGTATAGATGCGTATTGAAAGAGAGACCCGCTCCTCTTTCTCTCAAACTGTAAAATTAGGCAGCACCAGTGGTGTAGTGGAGGGTATACTCAGGTATACGGGGTATACCCACTTCTTTTTCTATCCAGTGACAGTATACCCACCTATCAGCTAAACAGCCATTAGGAGAGTATGCCCACTTCCTCATCTGTAACCTACCTATCTACCTAGTACACCCACCTCATCAACTACCACTACACCACTGGGCAGCACTGACCAATTATTTATAGGTGCTATTACTGTATTGCCTATTTCTCGCCTCAAATGTCTTCAGAAACACATTTTAGTGCACTGTTTGGCTGTCATATGAGAATCTGTGAACAGGAAGTGGTATCAAGTGGTAACAAACGGCTGAAAAAACTGAAATAAAATGGTAAAACTAGTTAGTGCTGATCAAATATGAATCAAGAGTGTTGCTGCATTGCCGATTTCTTGCCTCAAATATTTTCAGAAACATATTTTACCTCACTGGTTTACTGTAATTCGAGATCATTTGTTACCAGCCAAGTGAAATACTGTTTCTTGTGTCAAAATGGACAAACGTCACCTACCAGCCAGAGCATTTATTGGTCCAATGCGCCATAGTACATTCTGGTAATTGATGGTTTTCCTTCCCCTTGTAGCACCAATTTCAAGGGAATTTGCATCTTTCTACTACATTGACAACCCAGTTTTGTGAAAAGACCATGTTTCCAGCAGTGACATATTGCTTTAAACATCAGTATACATGAAACTGTCTGTTGAACTTGGCATCCCAGGCAACAAAGGACACAAAGAAAAGCTGCACCCTACCACTATCATAGCAAGATTTTTAGCCATGCTTGAGGTATGGCTCAATCATGCTGTCTATAATGATTGTGTAATATCTCTCTCTCTGTCTGTCTGTGTGCAGCTGGGAGGCTGGGCAGTATCTGGCCAGTGGAATCAGACTGAATTCAACTCTACCCTGAGCCTGCTCATGAGAGATTACGCCACCTTTCCATTCTTCAACCTCTATGTGGGCAAAGACCCAAATGAAATTACCCGCAGGACAACAAAACGATACATACAGGTCAGTCTCCATTAAGATCATTTGACATGCTGGTGGGAGCACTGCCATAGCAACGTAGGATTTGTCTTATTGCTTTAACTCAAGTCTCCTCTCTGTCAACAGATTGATCAGCCAGATCTGTTGATCCCGATTGAATGGAACAGCAAGACAATGAAGTCTCACGCTAAAACTCAGGTTGGTGACTTAGCCAGACCACTATTGATTCAAGAGATGTCTTTTTTTATGAGTAAACAATATTCATCCATCCCAGTAATGCATTCCTTTATCATTCTCATTCATCCAGACGCTACGTCCCTTCTTGGCATCGTGTGAGGAGTACCTGGCACTGTTGGGGGCCCCGGCCAGCAGGAGCATGATCCACGTGGGCACGTTCATCTCTCTGTCCTCTGAGCTCGCTGTGGCTGCAACACCTCTGCAGTATCGCCTGTCAAAAGGGCAGCTCTATCAGCGCATGACAATCAGAGAGCTACAGGTACAAGGAGAGCAGGATGATGGGTCACTATACACACATAGGCTGTATTCAAACTGCCTACTATGCTAGCAGTGCGTGGTGATTAACGCTAGTCGGTAGTATGTAGTAGGCGGTTTCAAATACCGCCACACTGAATCAGTTGTTACTGATTGATTTTCTTCACATGTATTTACCCACAGAGCCAGGCCCCTGCCATTGATTGGCTGGGCTGTCTGCAGGCCGTTTTCCATCCGCTGCCTCTCGTTGAAGATGATCACGTACTTCTGCATAACTTACCCTACATTGTGCAAATGTCCCGCGTCATTAGCAAATGGCTGAACAGGCACGAGCTGAGCACCAGGTATTGTAAGTGGCACAAAACATCCCACAATCAAATATGGATAGATTTTTCCTTTTTTTTACCTTGTGCTGTCACATTTCACTCCACTCAGCGGCCCCGTTCACACTTTCATGGTCCTCAATCTGCTGCACACCCTGATGCCTGCTCTCGACAGCAGGTTTTCTGAAACAGAGAGGAATTTGTCTGTGGCTCTGGGCAACACTGAAGGAGTGAGTCAAACAAAGCAAATGTACTTTTTAAAAAGATGATACCTGTGAGCTTGTTTGTTTAATCACATCTTCATTATGGGTCTCTTCATCAGGTAGCTCCTCGCTGGGAACAGTGTTTGTTAGAAACTGAGAGAGGATTTGATTCAGTCCTTACACACCTTCTCAGTGAAAGGACAGCACACAGAGAGGTGAGTAGCCATTATGGGGCTTTGGGACTTAATGAATTTCGTAGCAATCCAATTTTAAAGCTGATATGTATTTAAGATTTTCATTGTTCAACAGGCAGAGGAAATTATTCAAAATATCTTTTCCTCCTTCAAGTCCAAATTACATAAACTCAAGTGGACGAATCAGACGTCTCTCCAGACTGTCATGAAAAAGGTAATAAGTGAAGCATGAATTGTTTTTGTACTTCCTGAAACTACTTTTGTTGATTTGATATTAATAAAGGCCTGTCTTCCTCCAGGTTCAGTCTTTAATTCCAAGACTTTGGACAATGAAAGAGATGTCAAGTGAGGCTGAGCTTGACCTGCTTTTTTCCAAGGTATATTACAGACCTCTGCTGGCTCTAGCAGATTATTAACCTCTTTCCAGCTGAGATTATCTTGAGTTAAATCCATCTGAACTCATTTAACACAACTTTTGTTTTGATTCCAGGTTACTGTCAGCACACAGAGCTTCTTCTACAACTACTTACAGCTCCTGTCCTTGTGGCAAAAAAGACGCAGTAAACTCTTGACTGAGCAGACTGAAGCAGCTGATATGTAAGTGTCTGCCTCTATTCTTGAAGTTGAGAGTCGATATGAATGTTTTGAACATGTGTTTAATCTTTTCTTTTAGTCTGGCTGCCACACCGTTCCTCCTCGGTAATGAGCTCCTATTTCCCATGGGAATGTTCGTCCCTCCTCTCTTCCATCCCACCTATCCAAGGTAATGTGTCGTGATTTTAACTATTAAAGTGTGTTCATACGATACTTATTACTGAACATTACAGTACACTCTTTGTTTTATTTCTTAACAGGGCAATGAATTATGGTGTAATAGGTTTCCTTATAGCCAAAGATGTCCTCCATCTGCTTCTGCCTGATAGTAAGAGAAGCTCACATTTGTTCTGTTTGGGTTACGTACACAGTTGATCCCCTTAACAGGACAATTCACCCCAAAAACAAAAGTATTTTTTCAATTACCTGTAGTGCTATTTATCAGTCTAGATTAACCCACAAACATTTGAAAAACTCAACAGCAGTGTCTTTTTCCATTAATCATTACCTGGTCACTCAAGATAATCCGCAGACCTTGTTGTGAGCTTTTTCACGTAGGAACTATTTTCTCTCTATCATACTACACCCACCAACAGTATCACTGCGCAGAAGGAAGCGTGCATCTACTCATGGATAAGAGGCTTGTGCTCTTGACAGCGCAAGATGTAAATGTTAATGGCGTCCTCCTTGCCTGAGTGGAAACGTTACCTACCTCAGTGGTGCTAGGTGAGCTAGAGGTAAATGCACTCTTCTTTCTGCGTGGTGATATGGTTGGTCGATGTAGTTCAATGAAGACTGAGTGTATTTGAGTCCCACCCCCACCAACATGGTAAAGAATCCATAACTCATTTATTACAAGCTGCTGAACCAGAAAAAAATGAGCTTTTAAGCAATAAGACGTGAGACATCAGCAGGAAAATATGGAAAAACCTCACTCTACGAATACATGCAGCGAGCACTTTGCTATTTGGTCAGACAAACTGTAGAGGGTGAAGCTAACTAAGCTATGTAAGGCCTGCTTTTGATCGTTGATGGGCTTAAATGATGGTGATGATCTCACCTAGTGATTCGATCAAATAGTTGTAAATATCAAAGTATGTCATTTCTGGCCATTCAGTGGGATCATCTCACCAAGATTAGTAAGGTAAGAAGGAACACGGCGATGAACTGACAACATGCTGATATCAAATGTTTTTAGCTAGCTACCGCTATTTTGTTAGCTTTTAATCCTTGGTTGTATATTGCGGCGCCGATAGTTTCCCCCTCCAGCGAGCACGATTTTGCTCCGTCTTCAAAGAGAGAAAAAAGTTCCTCTATGAAGCTGATCACAAACAAGGTCTGTGGATTACCTTGAGTAACTGGGTAATGATTTCTGGAAAAAGACATTGCTGTTGAGTTTTTTAAATGTATTTTTAAGCCGAGTGCCATTTAGTTCAATTATATCCGAGAGAAGGCAGGCATCTCTACAGCCAATATCGCCAACACACGGCAACTGACACCAAAACAATCTAGACAGAGTAACAGCACTCATGTTAAGAGAAAAAAATATGTATATTTGATTTTGGGGTGAACTGTCCCTTTAATAAACTGTTTTTCAGATGTTAAAACTGCCTTCTTTACACTCTACTGTCAGATGATTTAACAAGCTTCATATCAATCTCTGTGTTGTGCTTCAGTTTACTCTCAAAGTGAGACGGTGCGTGCTGTGGGGGAATGTGTGTGGGCTCACTACCTCACTGTGACAGAAAAAGCAGGCCGAGGTGGAGTGTTTTCTCTCTCAGCGGCTCAGCAGCAGGAGGTGTGGGTGCAGTACTCTGCACTGCAGATAGCATTGCAGGTGAGCAGTCATCTTCTGGCTTCAGTCATCTGTGTGTGCAACACTGAGCTCATACATCCACATTTTTATCCTCAGGCATATCGTCAGAGTCTAAAGAACCATCCGAGTGACACCTCCATCTCAGGACTATCACACACTCATCTGTTTCTCTCATCTTTTTCTCAGGTAGCGTGCTTTTATTATCAGGTTACCATTGTCATCTCCTTTTCTCTCTGCTATTGCTCTAACGTGTTTTATTATAACCCTTTTCCAGGTTAACTGTGACTCAGACCCATACAGTGAATTCATGCCCTTGGAGCCCTCCTTCTTGATCACAGTGATTTGTGCCAAATCTGACCTGTGTCCTACAAGCCTGCAGTGCCTCAACAAAACACAGCAGCATTCATTACAAACCTGCTGAGTACACTCCTCTGGAGACCAGCAGGCTTTGTTTTTTAGAGTTGTTAATTGTTATGGATTGTCTGGCCAAACTATCCACTTGGTGCTGTAGAAATTGAGCACACTGTGAATGTTTACAAACTGTTGTTACAGGGATAGTTTATTATACCAGACGTTTATGGTAAGAGTACTGACAGTAAGTACAGATAAAAACACTGACATTTTTTGTATAAGTAGCTGTTAAGAGATGTTTGGATTTCCATAGACTGCACAAGCTGTTACATATGCTTGTAACTGAAATAAACATTTGAAAACGTTTCATTTCACTGATCTACATTATTACTTTGTCCACTGCCATGGTAAAAAAAAAAAAAAAAAAAAAAAAAAAAAAAAACACCCATTAATTTTAATTTTAAACGTCTGTCTCCTAGGTGATGTTAACAATCACCTCCAACAGCTACTAAAGAGTTGTTATATTTTCAAAGAAATCACACACTTACTGTTTGATAATCAGGCCATATGTGTCTGTCAGACTCCAACAATTAGCTGGGCAGTTTTTAGATTTCCATCTGAAACATAAAATAGGCTAACAGCGAAAATGCGGAGGAAAGACACCGTCAAAACAGCCTCACCCAAGGGCGCCACCGAAAATGCTAATAGACACAGTAACGTTAAAGCAAGAGAAAATACACCGTCAAAGGTGACCAAGCTAACAAGGAGACCTTACAAAACTCTGACCGGGTTAGGCCTCGGAAAAGCTGGAGTAAAGCGTTTGGGCCGGCTGTTGAAACGGGCCATCCAGGACCAAGTGGAGTCCACCGGGAGGGGGAAAGCCTCTTTGCCAAGTAAGTAACGGTTACGGCCATTTTAGCTAGCAGCTAGTTAGCTAACAGCTAGTTAGCTAGCAGCTAGTTAGCTAGCAGCTAGTTAGCAGGTAGCTAACTTTAGCTAGCCACTTAAAGCAGTATTTACAGCTAGCTAAACTTAAGGATACTTCAAGTTACAAGTTTATTTATTTATTTATTTTTTATCTTATCTAGTCTTTTATCATATTTTTAACTCGCTTCAGTCAGCATTTAACCAAATGTTAGCTTGTGAGGAAAACAAAAGGAGACCTCGAGTTTCTGGACTTTACATGGCAGATGAGCTGTTATTGGGAAATTTTGACAGTGAAATATTTACACATTTTTAAATCAAAGAAAATTAGGAAAATATATGAAATATTCACTGTCTGTGCATGTTTTTATTTAATATTATTATTGTAGAACTTTACAAATTAAATACAGAGGACATGCCCTTGGTGTACTCAAGTGTCAGCCCTTAGTGATAATCAGGGTTTTTTTTTTTTTTAAGATTATTTTTTGGGGTATTTTGCCTTTAATGGACAGGACAGATTGAAATGGGGTGAGAGAGAGAGAGAGAGAGAGAGAGAGAGAGAGAGTGGGGGTTGACATGCAGCAAAGGGCTGCAAGCTGGAGTTGAACCTGCAACCGCTGCAGCGAGGCATCGCCTCTGTACATGGGGCGCCGGCACTATCCACTATGCTACCGACGCCCCAACACAGCCTGTCTTCTCTGGGCAGCCAGGTCTGCCTGTGTCTGCCAGTCTCTATGGCCAGGCTGTGATCATTGAGTCTGTACATAGTCAGTATCTTTCTCAGTTTCTGATCTGTCACAGCGGTCAGTAGCTTGCAATTGTGTACTGTCTGTTTAGGGCCAAATCGCATTTGGGTTTGTTTTGTTTTTTTAAGTTAAGTTAAGTTTATTCATTTTATTAATCCCCCTGAGGGGAAATTCAATGTTTTCAATGTTTGCTTGAAATCAATTACACACAGTTCTGAAAGACACACACATGCACAAACAGGACCTATACATGCACAAAGTGGAGAGATGTCAGAGTGAGGGGGCTGCCCTTTGGTCAGGCGCCTCAAGCGGTTGGGGGTTCAGTGCCTTGCTCAAGGGCATCTCGGCAGTGCCCAGGAGGTGGCACCTCTCCAGCCACCAGTCCACGCTCCATATTTTGGTCCGGACGGGGACTCGAACAGGCGACCCTCCGGTTCCCAACCCAAGTCCCTATGGACTGAGCTACTGCTGCCCCCAATATGTGGTAGATGTCCAATAGTTGATGTTGTTTTCTTTTTCTTTAGCTATAACTTGGTTTGGCTGGATTGTGTGAGGGTTGTCCTGAGGCCTTGTGCTGTTAGAGGAGGGGAGAAAGGTGCTCTTATATTGTTAATGTTTACTCATGTCAATTTGCTGTTCTCTAAGAAAAGTTGTCATTGCCATGTTATAGTCTTGCTTTATATAGCTTTGGAGAAAAATTCAAATTTTTATGCCATCAATGTCAATCTCCCCACATGGTGTCAAACATTATATTGAATATCAGTATTTTTCAAAATCTTATGTCAAGGTTAGAAATTCCAGTGTTGTGACATTTATTCTTATATCTCCTTTTTTGTACCATGTCACACAACCTTCTTTTGTCTTTATTGATCTTTCAGAGACTCCTTTTCGCCTTTTCAAGTATCAGATTCAAACTAAGATCGACAATGCACCCAAGACAAACAGTGCAAAGCCGACCCCAGCCGATGTGCGCCACCTCATCCTCAATGTGGTTTCCCAGTGCAGACACCGAGGTGGTATCTCCATGGCGGAGCTTAAGCAGGCGCTGGCCGCTGGAGGCTATGATGTTACCAAGAACAACAGGCGGGTGAACGCAGTGACTCAAAGGCTGGTTAACAATGACACACTTATACGGACTACTAGGAGTGTCACATTCAGACTCAACAATAAGGTAAAAGAACTTTTGCCCATATGATTTGATAACACGTTTGCTCCTAAATTGGGCTGAACGACAAACATATATTTTATTGGGATGTGGCCAAAAGTGGAACATACTTGAAAGTTTCAATCCATTTAGTGCAGCAGTTTTCTTTCCTGTGTGATGCTATACAACAGGTTTGTCTTGTCAGCAATAATTCAGTATTTCCTGGAATTCACTGTTTTGTTTTGTTTTTAAAGAAAAATCAGAAACAGCCTGAAACAAAGCAAGTGAGGACAAGCACTGTGAAATCTCCAAAACCAAAAGGAGATCCTGAGCAGAGAAAAAACACCAGCAGATCTCCCAAAGGAGCAGAAAAGTCACAGAGACCAGCCAGAAAGAGTACCCAACCAAAAGGCAAGATCAGCCGAACAACCAAATTACACAAACGAACAGGAGAGACTCTCAAACCAGCAGCCACATCGCACAAACCACAAGGCAAGACCCGTAAACCAGCAGCCAAATCACACAAACAAATAGGAGAGACCCTCAAACCAGCAGTCACATCGCACAAACCAGACGGCAAAACTCATAAACCAGCAGCCAAATCCCACAAACCAAGAAAGAAGACACCCAAAGCAAAAGGAAAATCGCCGAAGCCAGCAGGGAATAAACGCAGATCTGCAACGAGCCAAGCAGCACAGGTTCGCAAGGCACCAAGGAAGGCTCACAGGGCCCGGAGACGTTGACCAAAGCAAACCCGACATCCATATAAATTTTCCCAGAAAAGACAGCCACCCAGACGGAGCCAGCGTCGGGTTGCCAGGAGAAGAGCTTACTACTATTAGCATTTAGAGTAGTACATGGTGAGCTTAATAAACTCAAACCTTTGCAGCAACTGGATATTGTATATTCTCTTTTGATGCATCAGCTGAGTTGAAAATGGGTTTTCTGATGACTTATTTTCATTTTACACTTTGGATCCATGTTCCCAGGGAAATAATGTACCTTGCAAAAAAGTAGGCTCATCTCATAGTATTTAGTCTCCACTGTGTATTTCACTCTTCTAAGTCTATATGAAAGAAAACCACTCTTCATTTTTTGAGATGTTTTAATGTAACTGTATTGATTGATAATCCAAAACCCAGTAATTGGTGCAATTCATATAAATATAAAAACATGCTTCTACATGAAAAGGAAATAGAAATCTTTTTATATTCCACATGGTAGCCAAACACCATCAAATAGGTATACACATACAGTGTATAACAGGACACGTCTGTAGTTCATGTGGCAGCACTAGTGAAATGGACATCATATCCATTCCTAGTCCATTAAAAAAGTCAATGTACTCTGCTGTCTCTGTCGAGTCAACACCAATAGTTTATTGACTGTCTGTCACAGGACACCCCAGACTTCCTCGAAGGCAGAGCATATCTTGGCACAGGTCAGTGCCCCAGAGAGGGGGTAGTTACTGATGGAGACCGTCTTCTCTGTGTAGTCCACATTCACCTAATAAAGACAAAGAGATCAGTAACACAGATATTTGATTCTTAAAGCAGTGAATCAGCTGCCATCTAAAGCCTTTTCTCACCGCTCCGTGTGCAAAAGCTCCAATCACCACTGCAGCCGGTCCCTCTGGCACCAAAGTCCGGGGACAGACGGCCTCCCCAGCAGAGAAGGAGGTGGAAATGCGGGGGCAGCCGGGAGGCAGGTGGTCAGACACAGGGTTTTTAATCATCCTCAGAAGCTTCTGAGGACCATCAGCGGCCCTGACACTCAGCTTGTGCAGCAGCTGAACTAAAGTAGAGGAGAGGAAGGAATAATTAGGATATCAACTGAAGAGGAGTTTACAACATGAAACCACAGCATAGAAAAACTCAACATATATATATGCAGTTTATACACAGAAAGCAATTTAACACATAATTTACCCATGAGGCCACAGAAACGAGTGAAGGTTCTTGGGATGCGGGTCTGTGGGTTGATCTCTATTAAGGCATTTTTCTCTGTGTGGATGTAAACCTGCAGCAGGCCTGCCCTGTTCAGTGGACTGTCCATCAGCATGAGCAGACACTGGCACAAGGAAATGAGATGTTTAATTTTTTAAATATGAACACAGTCACAGGAGATGGACCAATATGGTTTTTGAAGCCTATTTTCAGACATGCTTGATGGGTCAAGTATTTGTAAAATGCGACACTGATTCACCGCTACTATTTTTTTGTTTATTTGAGTTTTTATTCTGTGGGAAAAAAAACAAAAAACAAAAAAAAAAAACAGTTCTACGAATACACAAATACTGGCATTAAAATGTAATTCATATCAGTACTGCTTTAAAGAGCTGATATGGATTGCACCACTGACTCACTGTCTACAAATATCATTGTAGACAATTACATACATACTCCAATCAGCCAAAACATTAAAACCACTAGCAGGTGGATAGAATAACATTGATCCTTTGGTCACAATACAATATTCTGCTGGGAAACCTTAGGTCCTGACATTCCTGTGGATGCCACTTGATGCCACAAATGTGACAAAGAGCTTGAGGCTTCAACCTCGCTTCCCAATTCCCTAGATCCCAATGTGATCAAGCATCCGTGGGGCATGTTGGTACCCCGCCTCACAACCTACAAGACTCAAAGGATCCACCAGCAGCACCCTGCTGCCAGACATCACAGGACACCCCCAGGGTCACAGCCATGTCTGATCCAAAAAGGCCCCACTATAGATTGCTCATGTGACAGATGCTCGATCAGACTGGGATTTGGGGAATTTGGAGGCCAAGTCGTGCCTTGAGCCCTTTGTCACGTTCTTTGGGCCATTCCTGAACAGTTTCTATGGTGACTGCATGGTGTATTTTTCCGCTGGAGGGTCACTGCCATAAGAGATTGCTGTAGCCATGAGGGAGGCACTTGGTCTGTGATGGTGGAGTACGGCAGGTGGCAAGGTTCAAGGTTTCACAGCAGAACACTGCATTGTAACAAGATAATTTGTTTTTCACTTCACCAGCCACCAGTGTTAATGTTCTGGCTTACCAGTGTACATATACATAGTAGTCAGATAATAATGTTTACCTTGTTTACCTTTGTTGCCCTTGTTTTTAAGTGTTAAATCCATTTCTCTGCATGTACATTGAGAGTAACGAAAATCACAGTCCAGCTCCTTGTCCTGAATGTGTACACACTTACTGGAGCTGATTCTGACAAGCCCCATTTCTGACCTCTAAAACTCTTTTACAGTGATGCAAATAATATGAACTAAAACGAAATAACACTTCTCTGTATCTATCAGTCATGACAGACACAAGTTGTACACACTACATGAGTGCTTACCTGATGTGTGATGTCTGGTCTTATATGTCCTGGATTTCTTCCACTTTTGACAATAATATTTTTGTGTTGGTCACAGTTTAACAGCTCAAAGGTTTTTCCGACCTGTAAAATACAAAACATGCACTTATTTCATTAGTTAGCCCCAGTTTAAATGTATAATTACTGATGTCACTTCCACTTGCAGCAGTCAGGGGGCTGCGTCACAACAACACACACACACACGCGACCCTGAGGCTTTACCTTCACTGTTTCTAACGAGGCTCCCTCCAGAATAACAACCAGTCTCCTCTCTGCCATACGGTCGTGCAGGCTGCGGAGGTGTTTCGCTGGTTTAGGCTCATATTCGTCCAAATGTTCAAGACCACGCTTCTTCTCATTAGGAGCCGCCATGACGCCTTCGGATGTACTGTCGCGGAATGTGTACGTCACGGCAGAAGTGCGCGTTCACAAGCGGGTGCTGATAGCAAGTGTCTACTTTGCGCCTTTTAACATAGCAAACAACATTTTATGTACAATAATAATGAAATAACGTTTCGTTATTTTATATATGTACAAAAAACGTAACCTCCTGAGCGGTTTCTGTGTATGCGCTCGCGTGTTCGCCACCATCGTTACGTCACTGACGCGCGCCGGATGCACTTCTACAACGTGTTGAAGGAAAATTCACGTGTGGGTATTTTATCCTCCACCGTACAGTTAAAAGTTGGATAACAGGAGCAGATTTTTCGGTGAGTATGTGGAGACTTTATGCTGCGTTAGGCAAAGACTCAGTCAGTCTGTCTGTGTCAACAACCGAGGTCTTGATTTGAGCTTGTAAACACGACATGGGGAGTTTGGTCAACTAATGTTAATTTACTGTGTGGCTGCTCGTTGCACTTTATTCTGTCATTACTCTGTCACTGCAAACGTGCAGAAGCGTTTGAAGGCCTTATAATTTAATATTTAGGGTAGCTATATCTCCAGGAATTTAATTTTGGATCCATTGAAATACCATAAAGAAAGTAGAAAGTAAAAATATGTATCTGTGGTAATCAGAGTGAAGTGCGAGACCATTTTCTCTTGCATATGGCCTCCCTCTTGATCACTTTTAAAGATGACTATGGAAATGTTTTTGTCAGATGATTATAGCAGGCCACATGTGACATGTCTCTGACAGTTGGTCTGCACACCTGTTTAACCAGAGCTCAGTCACCACTTTCTAGATTCCTTTTAATAATTTAATGGCTACAGAGCTCAGGTTTTAGCAATTTCTTTATTTGACTGTCTTTGATTACTAATAAATATCTGTCCCCTGTCATTCTGCTTCCCATAATGACTGCGGTCAAAAGACCTGCATATTTGTGTTTACAGGATTATTATATGGAAGCTCATATATCCTAATGAAACTCTCAATATAAGTTTATAAAGGTCAACAGCCTTAAGTTAAACACACATCAGAGGAAAATTAGGATATAGTTCATGTCCAATAAAAGAAAAGGTCACAAACATTTCTCAGTTTATCAAAATATGTATCCTCTATTTTTTGTGCCTTTTTACCGTTGGGTACAGTTTAGGACAACATGTTACAATCCCTGATACACATAGTTGTGCCCATGAGTGGGAGTAATAGTGCTGTCTTAGCCCAAAACCTTTAAGCTGCAGGTTATAGAGATAGCTTAACACTGATCATATTTTTGGGGGGTTAGTGGTCAGCATTTTGACCTGACAAAAATTCAAGTAGGATAAAAACACTGTCTCTATTAAACCTATGTGGCATGGATTAAATGTGTCTGCGATATTTCTGTTATGGTGGTCAGATTAGTCCCAAGTAAATCCCTTAAACAATCCCTTAAACATTATCATTTAACTAAATTAAGTTCAGTACAGCATGCTGTGACTTAACTCTAAGTATGTGTAGGTATGTTGTGTGCTTCTCTAAGCACATGAGTCCCATTGCTCACCCCTGAGCAAGAATGATGTTCTCTATTGACCAATAGATGGACTGCTGTTTCCAGCTCCACCTTTTAGTATCAGATCAGTGTGCTAGGTACCTCTACAGAGGGTTGACAGAAAAAGGGGATGAAAAGAAATGGGTTTGTTGTTACCATCTGCAACTTTTGACAATGGAAATGCAAAAATAACCGTTCTAATGTGTACTGAACTGACCGGAATGGCACTGGACTGCTTGGTAGAAACTGGGCTTTACAGCACAACATGGGCTAAAGACAGCACCAACAGTGGCATCTGCTCATAAACAATGACATTGTTATAATGCACTGGCCTTAAAAAGATGACACATTATTTCCCTTTGCTTTTCAGGGTGTCTGTGTAGATCGGAGTCATGGGTCGGAAGTTGGATCCCACCAACAAGGTGAAGAGAGGGCCGGGGAAAAAATCCAGGAAGCAGCAAGGAGCAGAGACTGAGTTGGCCAAGTTTATAACTGATGGTGATTATTGTGTCCTTTTTCTATCAGCTGTTTGTAAAGACACACATTCACTCTGGAAATTTAAAGTTTACGAACCACTTGTTCATTTTGCTGACTGCATCATTATGCCTTGTTTCTCACAATGTTTGTTTTTGTTTGCAGAGGAAACTGAATCAAAACGTCTGTCGAGGAGAGGCAGGCAAAGGTAAGAGGTAGTCTGAATACAATATGAAATAATATTACTGTGTTTACAAGTTGCTCATTCATATTGTCATTTTACAGAGCTGCAAAAAGAGTCCAGAATCTGAAAAAGCCGAAAGGCGCTGCTGAGGAAAAGCCCAAGAAAGGTAAACACAGCAGTGTGAATGTGGCTGTGATGTTTTTTGTATACACACATGCAGATGGTTACTACCCAGCACCTGCAAAGAAAACAAAAAACGTTAAGTGTGTGTCTGAATTGTTGCTGCTAGAGTAGTTATTTTTTTAAGTTGTAGAATGTGTACTTGGTGTTTATCTTCTGTTTATTTTTCTGTAAAGGATTCACTGATGAGAACAGCAAATGGTTGAAACCAGCGAAGAGGAAGCGCAAACTTGAAGAAGCTGAAAGTAAGGATGACAGTGATGAACACTGGGAGGAAGAGGAAGACGAGGAGGAGGAGGAAGAGCAGCAGCAGCCACAGAAGGGAGGAAAAGTCCAAGGAAAGAAGGGTGCCAAAGTAGAAATGAAAGAAGTGGAAGAGGACGACGATGATGAGGAAGACGACGAAAATGATGATGACGACGATGAAATGGTTGATGACTATGGTGCACTTGATGAAGAGAGTAGTGAGAAAGCAGCGGAAGAAGAAAGTGATGAAGAGGAAGTATGTAAAATGGTTCTCCTATAACTTTTTTTTATTTTCTTTTTTGAAGACTGGAAATTTTACTGAAATTTCGGTTCAGATGTAAAAATGTAATTTTTCTCCAAACTGCAAATTTGCTGATACAGTCCCTGATTTCTTTTTTATAGAGATGCCAAATTTCCTCCCACCTAACTGTTGATATGTCAGAAAAACTAATGTGACTAATGTGGTAAAATTAAAAGTTAGTATGATTTAGTAAGTTACTTTCCTTGTTTTCCCACATTCAGCTTCTTCCCATTGAGCGTGCAGCCAAGAAGGAGAAGAAGCTGAAGGAAACCATGGGTCTAGAAAGTGATGAAGATGACGACGATGATGAGGAAGATGACAAAGATGAAGACGATGATGATGAGGAACAGAAATCAGATGCTGACATGGATGAGGAAGACACAGTACAAGCAAACATAGATGAGATGGATACGTTTAGGCTACCTGGTGCGGAGGAAGCTGAGAAGGAAGGTGTGTGACTTACAGTTATTTTTGTAATATTGTTTTCATATTTTTATTGTCATTTCTTATTCAATTGTACAAGTAGTATATTTTCTCTGTTTATTATTACATCAAGGCAGATTTCTTGTATGTGAAAACCTACTTTTTTTTCTGATTAAGATTAATCTACTTTAAAGGAGGAAATGGAAATACATTTGCAAGAAGTCTAAATCCCTTTCTTATCTGCATTTTTAGGTGTTCTGCCTCTGGACCTGAAGACAATCTATCAGAGAATAAAAGACAACATTGATGTCCTTTGTAATTTCTCAACAAAAAGAGAGGAGGGGAAAGAGAGAGCAGAGTACATCTCTCTTCTGAAGAAGGATCTCTGTACTTATTACAGCTACAACATTTTCCTCATCGAGAAATTAATGGACATCTTCCCTCTCTCAGAGGTGGGTAATTTCTTTTCCCCCCTGTAGTGCTGAACAGAACACATTCTGATGTCCTTTTCAACATATTTGAATTGATTGATGTACACAGTTATAAAGTTTTAACACATGGCAGTTGTCAACACCTGATTGAGAGCTGGGTTTAGGGTCCCTGACACACCAAGGTGACTTCAGTCGTTGGTTTGTGTCGGGCCATCGGTGAGAATCTGTCACCCTAATTTTGCACTGTGTCCCTCACTGTTGGCACTCGTACTCCCTTTTCAGCAGTTTTTAGTTTGATTCAGCATGTTCAATCGGTGGTGGAGCCTGTAAGTGAGAGAAATCCCCTCCCTGTCAATGTGCTAACTGGCTAAATAGCGTCTTGTATCCGTCTTGACGGTCTTCTGGTCTTCCAGTTTCCTTCCATTTTTGAATGACGAATACAGACCACCGCTGCCTGGCTGCTGGTATTTAGTTATTTCCACTCACGCAAGTGCAGAATGTAGGTGCTCATTGGCCGTTAACTGTAGTCTGTGCGGTGTGTTCAAGTGCAACTTTCTGGCCAAGACACAGGCAACAGTACTCTGTCGTCATTAGTTCTTTGATGTGTCTGGGTCTTAAATGAGTTAACATTTTTGACTGTGCTGCTTTCTTTTTTTTCTATAATTAAAAATTTTTCTCCTTTCTTGTTTACAGCTGGTTGATTTCCTCGAGGCCAATGAAATTCACAGACCTGTCACTATTCGGACGAACACACTGAAAACAAGGAGGAGGGATCTTGCACAGGTAACTGCACGGCGTGGGGGAGACATTAAATGGCAAATGCAATATTTTCAAATTCAAAATTCCACATGTGCTTTGTATTATTTCTAGTTAGTCAACTCAATAAAAAGCACAAATGAAGTATAAATATACTGTAATGAATTTGTTTACAGGATTTAACGGCACTTTACATCAAGGAAATAACATTGATATATGAGTTCTACAAAAGCAGTTTGCAGAACAAAATTTACATTCACCATAGCCTTTTCAGAAAAAAAAGTGGCAGAAATAAAACTTCAGAATAAAAGAGAAATGTTTGGCTTTAGTTCGGAGTGTCATTAACCCATAAACCACCAAGGAAAACCCCTCACCAAAACACTTCACTGGTATTGTCTAATGTCAAATACTGCCTTCAAGTGCTCATGTGTCAGTGTGGTTTGTGTTTCTCCACGTTTAGGCCCTGATCAACAGAGGAGTGAACCTTGATCCGCTGGGGAAATGGTCTAAAGTGGGTTTGGTCATCTATGACTCCTCAGTACCTGTAGGTAAGTTTCAGCACCTTCACATCAAGGATCTGACTCGAGCTATTAAGGATCTTTTATTGAAGAATATCTGAGGCTGACTGTAGCCACACAAGCTTTAACTGTAATTCTTTACATGTTTTAAAACAGGTGCAACCCCAGAGTATCTCTCTGGTCAGTACATGCTGCAAGGAGCCTCCAGTTTTCTTCCTGTCATGGCGCTCTCTCCACAGGAGGGAGAGTTGGTGTTAGATATGAGCTCAGCTCCAGGAGGCAAGACCACCTATATTGGTAAGATGTGCTGCAGTTATACTTTGTGATACTTTGTTTTGGCACCACCACTGCATCCTGGGCTTGTGATTGGTTTACAGAAATACAAACAAGTCAGAGCATTTTCTCCTCTATAGCAGAACAATAACGTGTGCTTCCAGACCATTTTCTTGCACTTACACAGCGCTGTGTGGATAGGTCTGGCTACGCAAGACTGTTTCAGCTGCAATGTAGGCAAATACAAACTTTTCTCACATGCAAATGAACTCAGTTTATTTAAATGTTCCACCCTCAGCTCAGCTGATGAGAAACACGGGGATGATCGTGGCCAATGACGCCAACGCTGACAGGTTGAAGAGTGTGGTGGGCAACATCCACCGTCTGGGGGTCACCAACACTGTTGTTTGTAACTACGATGGAAGGCAGTTCCCAAAGGTAATGCTCATACATCTGTAGAGTAACATTATCTCTGTGGTTTACATTTACTTTATGTGGCTTTACAGAATGAACTAACCTGTTGAAAACTTTGCCTGCAGGTGATGGGTGGGTTCGATAGAGTGCTGCTCGATGCTCCATGCTCAGGAACTGGAGTCATCGCTAAAGATCCAGCTGTGAAGACCAGTAAGGTAAAACACCTTTCACTGTTTATGTATACGCTAATGACTGTATATAAAGATGGACAAAGCGTTTCTACTTCCCTCCACTATACAAAAAAATGAAGCCAAAACATCCCACATAAGGCCACTGCCATCTTGCGCTGGTGACATTGTTTGAAGCCGGACTGTGTGTTCCGATACCCATATTACCATACTATATACAGTAGTATGCCAGAAGAAGATTTAGTATGGCCCAATACATAGTATGTCAAATGCAGTATGCCAAAAATACCAGGATGTTCTACTACATTGGGATATATTTTGCAGTATGCAAGCCAGCATGCTCTTCTGGCTATTCTCAGTGCAGCGGAAAATACATTACATTGCCTGAGCTGCAAACAGATGACAGCTTAAGAGCTCGTTGACAGCTCTCAGAAGTCACAGTGATGGATGACAGTGTATTCAAGTGACTAATGACCAGGTGAATAGTAATAATAGGAATATTGATTGTTTAAATGAACAAAATAATCAAAAAGATGACCAACATTAAAAGGACATAGCTATAAAAATAACAATGACAGAGAAATGCATATGTAATTTAACTGTTGTGAATGTATGTTAGAATCTATTCAGTTATAACTTCAAAGTTAAACTACATGCATCCCAAAGTAACAACTGCAGAGCTCTGGGTTGACTTCCTTGTCTGGCGAGCTTGGTGAACAGCATTTTGTTTTATCTCCAAGGTAACGGATTTATGAGAAAGAGGGTCGACTGTGTTCGTACTTTTTAAGGGCAGTTGTAGTACATACTAAAAGTAAAAAGAAAAAGTATGTGATTTGGAATACACCCAGAATCTGCGCTGTATTGAACTCCTGCCATCTGACTAATGGCAGCAGCGCCATTGTTTGCAAGTGCTCGATTGGCACACACAGCTGTCAGTCATCACATTGAACCCCCTTTTTATAGCATCAAATTAAAACCAAACTTATAAGAAAAACAAACTATTAAACATACAACAGCATGATAAGAGCTACCTTTGTTAGTTTGGTCAATATTCTGTCTGCTAACATGGAGAAGGCAGTGTTTATGACCTATGTTGCAGGTATCAACATGTTTGGGTTTCCCTTTTGGGGAGCTGTCATGTCATCCATGCATATATATGCTCACTTTTGGTTTTAAACAGTTTTTAATGCTTTGTTATTTCCTGACAGGACGAGGCCGACATCCAGCGCTCCGCTCACTTACAGAAAGAACTGATTCTATCTGCCATCGACTCTGTGAATGCTGAGTCCCCTACGGGAGGATATCTGGTCTACTGCACATGTTCAATAATGGTACGTGTACTCTACAGGCAGCTAATTCATTTTTAGGTTTCCATGTTACTTGTGAGTATTTAGAAGAAGGGTTAGGCATTGATAAAAATGTGTTCCATCAGGTGGAGGAGAATGAATGGGTGGTGGACTACGCTTTGAAGAAAAGGAACGTCAAATTAGTTCCCACTGGACTTGACTTTGGCAAAGAAGGCTTCACCAGGTAAATAAGATAATTGCAGTATGTTTTTATTCTGTTGCAAATACTCTGACCTTCAACCCTTAATTTATTTTTCATTTTTTTAGATTCAGAGAACGTAGATTCCATCCAACTCTGCGACTGTCTCGCCGATTTTACCCTCATTCCCACAATATGGATGGGTTTTTTGTGGCCAAGCTGAAGAAATTCTCCAATGTAATTCCTACTGCACCCACAGGAAAAGGTAACACTTCCTCTTACGAGCACATGCCAACTTTCATCATGATAGTTACCCTGTTAAACGTGAACTCATCCTCTGCGTCTGTTATTTCTGTAGAGGAAGAAAGCGCAGATGCTCCCGAGGCGACGGCTGTTCCAGACTCTCCTGAAGAGAAACCATCCAAAAGTGACAAGGCTAAGAAGAGTGTCCCCGGCTTCAAGGGGAAAACCCAAGCCAATGGAACAGCAAACATCAAGCCAAAAGGCAAAAAGGACTCACCTACTGGACCAAAAAAGGCAAAGGTGGCCAAGATGGACGGAGAGACTGTGAAAGTGAAGACAGCTGATGAAATGAAAGCATCAAAGGCTGACAAAAAGGACAAGAGCAGATTTGAGAAGAAGCAGGGCAAAAAGAGAACAACACCCATGAAAGCAAAGAAGAGGATCGGAAAGAATAAATTCAAAAAGTTGAAGCACATGTTGGAAAAACAAGAAAAAGAATGAGGTGTGTACAGTGTGACAAATTGTACGACATAATGTAAGAGCTTTGTAGAGCTTCTTCACAAACCCAGATCAGCTAACAAGTGAGCAGCTGTACTGTGTGTCAGTCGGATATGGTTGTAATAACTGTGTACAAATGAATCAGACTGGTCAAAGATGTTCTCACTTAAGTTGGGTCCCCTGTTTTTTATTTGTATTACTGAATATTCATTATGTTTGTCTGTTGATTTAATTGAAGTGTGGGACAATTTCCATTAATCTGTGAAACATAATAAATCTTTTAAGATGTCTTGTCATCACTTGTTTGATTCATCAGTGGGAAGTTTTACTCGTCTTCTCGGCACACAAGGAAACAAACAGACAGAAACGTCACAAATGCCTTCATACATCACTCTACAGGGTCACATATTCACAGAGCAGGTTCACAATTACGTAGGCTTATCCTCCATTTTGATGAGTCCATAGTTGGTCCCAAGAAGACACTCCTCTCTTCTGATTGCCATTTATTCTACTGAGCTTACATTCATAAGATGCTATTTCCACCATTGCTTTAACCCATTCTTTCAATTTTGGAGCCTTTGTTGTCTTCCAGTGCCTTGGAAAACAGTTATTAGACCCACAATAATAACAGAAAATGCACATTTGGATACAACTTTTGATTTACAGGGATTACTGAACCAAACCAACAACTTAAAATTTCTAAAACTCCAATCCAGAGTGGTCTGACCCAACTTTATTTCCATATACAGTGGAGGAAAGTTCCTATTTCAGTTTTACATTTCCAACAGCTATTGTAATTTAACAATTTCATTATGTGTAGAGACATAACTGTGAATGATAACATCTATGCAGTTATATTGTGTGAGCTTCCCCTCGCTTCTTTCATATATTTACCACACCCTGACACAATTTTCAAACATCTGTCACCATCAGTTTCTTCTCCGAGATCCCTTTGCCAAATCAGTTTCACATTAAGAGACGTATCACACAGGAGGTAGTTAATAAAATTGTGTAGCCTTGTGGTTTTCCGATGGTAATTTGAGATAGTTTATATTAGTAGTGAATGTTAAATGCAGCTATAGAAAAAGCTTTTGCATGTAAAGCTTTAACTTGACCATCTCGTTATACATTGGATGCCATGTAGTTTGACTTGTCAGTTTAGTTTTAATAAGTCATTATTCCAGTTACAGATATATTCAACTGAATTTAGACTAGCAACCCATTTTTCATTCAAACATCTAAAGTATCTTAAACTGTAATTAGGTGTAGTGAGAAGTGCATTAAAAGTAGCTTGAATTTGAGTTCTTATCAGTAATGATGTATAGCCTATGGAAAAATGTTAAAAGTCGCATTGCCGCTATCTTTATTTTGATTGTCCATACAATTAAATAGTTTGTCGAAAGATAACATGAAATGTCTTAATTCTGATTTTAGACTAGTCAGAATTTTATTAGATATATCTTAAATTCAAGTTTAGATTTTTAAATGCACTTTATTTTAAATGCTAATCTTTAATATGCCACATGGCAGATAGTATTAATTATATATTTAACTTAAATAATATCTGTACCAATTTTGGATGTGAATTTGTGCTGGAAAGTAGTGTTGTCAAGGCTGTAGTAACAACCAATCAAATTGTCCGTCTCGGACCGGAAGCTCTGTTGTTTACAAGATGGCGGCGGGGATGTATTTGGAGCATTATTTGGACAGTAAGCTGATTAATATGTGATAAACATGTTGGAAAACATTTGAACATATTCAGCTCGTTTTATACTTTGGCCTTTGTTGTACCGTGTAGTTCCTGGAAAACCCGCGCGCGGAATGGGCTGTTTCGACCGTTTCCCAACGGTCAGCGGGTTTAGGCTCAGACTATTTCCTGGAAAACGCACCGTGGCGAAGAAAGGATGCAGTTTGAGAATGCAAAGCGCATATGCCACACTAGCCGTGCAGAGCTAGTTTGAATTCATTTAGCAAGCAAAGTCATATGTCTATGTGCCCCCTTGTTATTACTGAAATACATGTGCATGTTAGCTCGAGCGCCATCGTTAATGTAGCCTGAGCATCATCCAGCGCGCATTAAGCTAGCTAACGTTATCCTGCTTGTATTAACGTTACAGTTTCAGGGTTGTTGTTTTTTTTTTTTTTTACTGAAAGCGGGATTAAATTGTTTGTTTTCTCCCCCTCCACAACACCAGGTATAGAAAACTTGCCCTTCGAGTTGCAGAGAAACTTCAATTTGATGAGGGATCTTGATCAACGCACAGAGGGTGAGGACAATGACCCGTGAGACTACTGGGGATTTTAACCATGTTCTGGTGAAAACAAAAACACGTGTCAATTGTACACAATTTAGTTGAACCATGTTTTAAAGCACACTACGCCAGTTAGATGTCCCATGTGTGAACAAGGTGATGTATGCAGTGGTTCCCAACCTGTGGGTGAGGGTCCCCCAAAAGATTCCAAAGGAAGTCTGAGGTGTCACAAGATGATTAAGAAACAAAAATCAGGGGACAACTTTTATTTAAAATGATATATGCTTTTTTCTCTTCCTAGTATTTGCCATTTCTTGTGTAATACTGGATATTTTGATTTCTTCAGGCCACTGAAAATCCTTCAGATGAAACAATCCAAAGGCATATTTTGACCAAAGGCACTTTTTCATAGGAATGACCGCTTTGAGTGACTTTTTTGTAGCTCCTTTTGGTGTTTTTGGACCAAACGGTTATGAGTAGCCTCTGAGAGGAACTACCCACTGGGGACCTCCCCTGACAAATGCATACCATCACATTCCCCTTTTACATTGCCTGTTCAAGGCAGGAATATCATGCTGTTTTTCCACCTCACCGTGCCGTATATAAGGTACGACTGCGTAATGGGGGGACAGTTGTCTCACCTGTAATCTGCCACGGGAAGTAGTAACAGTACAGAAATGCTGTCTTTATAAACAGGGCTTTATAATCTGTATTGGCTATGTTCGACCAGTCAAGGTACACTTAAGTCACCCATGTCTTAGGTTAGGTTAGCTAGGTTTCTAAAACTATGAAAAAGTTCCTTGGTTCGAAAAAACCTTATGTCAGTTGATCAGTTGAACATGAGCGAATGCAGCACTGGCAAGCTCCATTCTTAAAACCCTTAGCCATTCGCCGTGTAAACAACAGACAACACAAAACAAGAGCTTGTAACCAAAATAGTGTAAGAAAAGATACAGACGAATGGACCAACAGTGATGTCTAGGTTTTTCAGAGTATATATGCAACCAGGGAAATACAATTATTTTGACTCTTAAAAGTGCAACATTAAGACTCTTCTACTCTACATCACTTCATTGTTCCTATGGGAGGTTTGAATGCAAACAGAAAAAAAGCCTTCGAAGGTATGTAGTTTTTTGGGGAGCTCCCCATTGGGCAGATCCTGTCAGGGAGTCCCCAGACCTGTTTGGTCCAAAATCACCATAAGCCTGAGGAATCATAGTTTGATTGAACTGGTTACAACTTAATGTCCACTAGGGCTGCCACGATTAGTTGACTAATCGATGACTAATCGACTATCAAAATAATCAGTGACTATTTTAGTAGTCGACTAATCGGTTTGAGTCATTTTTCCATAGAAAAGTACTATAAAAGTACCCTAAAATACTCCTATTGCAGCTTCTTATGTTCAAATATTGGCAGCTTCACACACTCTCCCATTACGGTGAACTAAAACCCTTTGGCGTGAGTACGAAACAAGACATTAGATGACATAATTTTGGGGTTTTGGAGAGACAGACCGACATTTTTCAACATTTTAACACATTTTTTGATAAAATGATTAGTCGACTAATCAAAGAAATAATCGACAGGTTAGTCGACAATGAAAATAATCGTTAGCTGCAGCCCTAATGTCCACAGTAACGCCACAACCTGTGACGAGGAGTCACAAGGAGAAATTACTTTTTAAGGGGTCACCAGCTGAGTTTTGGGAATTACATAACTCCACGTCAGTTTGGCACCAGCCTTGTGGTAATAATTAACTGTTGTCAATTCAGTATAATACGTTGTGAGTGATTTAAAAATTCAGAAAATACTTTAGACAGTATCTCACTTTTTTTCACTCAAGGTGTTTATAGGCATTAATAAAAACTAACGTCCATCCATATTAGACATGAAAGCTGACACTTAAGATTTAAGCATATTTTGCAGTTATTATCTGTATTTTTGATAAATATTAATTGTTTTAAGTTTTACTCCTTGTCTCTGTTTCAGATCTGAAGGGACAGATAGACTCTCTGGCTAAGGAGTACACAGCCAACGCCCGGACTCTCTCCTCTGAGCAAAAGCTGTCCATACTGAGGCAGATTCAGCAGTCTTACAGTAAATGCAAGGAGTTCGGAGATGATAAGGTGCAACTGGCCATGCAGACCTATGAGATGGTTCGTAGCTTTGAAATGAACATAATGTTTTACATATGTTTGTAGGTAAAATCAGTGGGAAACCAGTTTATAGACCCACCATGCCACAGTCAGACTGCTAAAGTTGTGTTTCCTACAGGTCGACAAACATATCAGACGTCTTGACACAGACCTGGCTCGGTTTGAGGCTGACCTGAAGGAAAAACAGATCGAGAGCACGGACTATGATTCCACCTCCAGTAAGGGGAAGAAAGGTGTGTGTCCATTGTATTTGTGTGTCTTTCTGCTTTTTACAACAAGAACTGTCAAGACAATGAAGCCAAACTTGGTGTTTCAACTTGAGTGGTTGTGTAATTCCAGCTGAAACCAGACAGAAGGAAAAGAAGACGGCTAAAACAAGGTCTAAAGTGAAGAGTTCAGATGAAGATGGCAGTCCCAAGAGTGCACAAAAGAAAGTCAAACTCCTTCAGCCGTATGTTGTGTATATACTTTTCCTGCTTGTGATGACCATGTGTTTGCTCTTCACGTTTTAGTTTTTAGTTAGCGTCATGATCACACTTACATTCTCACTTTCAATACTTTCTTTGCTATCATCAGAGGAGAATTCAACAGCCCTGCCGCCAACTTTGGGAATGTGCACCCATCTGATGTGCTGGACATGCCAGTGGACCCCAACGAACCCACTTACTGTCTGTGCCATCAGGTGTCTTACGGCGAGATGATCGGCTGTGACAACACTGATGTGAGTTTTGGGGGGTTTTTTGTTATTTTTTTCAAATCTTTTTAAATATTTCTGCTTTAATAAGATACCGGGGTGGGACTTGTTAGTTTCAGGACACTGTTATTGTGCTATACTCTATTTTTCTGGAGAAATAATGCTTCACATCAGGTGTACTTACAGAAGAA